GAGCATTCCTCGGTTGAAAAGCGTGCCAAGAAGAACAGACCGATCAACCGATTCGAATGCACCCTGGGAATTCAGAAATACCAAAACTGAGGAACTTTTGTACTACGGAAGTTCTTCTAGCACCTACCTGGTTATCACAACTCCTGCCAGACCGGGATCCCACTTGCCCCTCTTGAGTCAGTGTATCACGAGTCACCAAAGGGAGACGAAGCACGCGTGATGCTAACAGTCTTGTTACGACCGAGGTTAGGGTGATCACCACCTTGAATAAAAGCCCCTTCCTTGGAAACTTACAGCATCACCAGCTCTCTCGTTTGTTTGGGACAGTCTCCTCTTCCTAAATGCAGATAAACAGATCAGAAAAGCACGGGCTGAGGGTTTTATTCCCATCTATGAACAATCCGGGTTGGAGGTCATCCGGACTAGAAATGCAGTGGCGCTTGAGAACGCACGCATTCATGCACCTTTGAGACCATGGGAGCTTCCAGGTTAGGACAGTCAGGTCCTGAAGAACAGTCTGATCTTTTGTAATGTTTCACTAACATTTCGTTTCGTCTCAGCTGCCCTGCAGCGATTCCTCTTGAACTGATCCGTCTTCAAAATGGTCAACCTCTATCCCCTCTTTAAAATTCGCCCACCCACGTCCTTTGACGCGACGGAGTAATCCTGATAAATAAGCTAGCTATCACACAGTTACAACACACGTTCACCGTCCAGGATTCTGCATCAGCTGTAGATTCCAAATGAGTAGCATTGAAAGGCTAAGAGGATTTTTGTTTGAAGTTTCCGGCCAATATGTCAAAAGGTTATCCATTCGAGATGGTTGCGCTACTTCGATCCTTGATGGTTTCACTCACAGGCGTTTTGGCGTACCTCAGTGCAGCAGCTTTTTATGGAAAATGCCACTGCATTACTTCTGGTATAAGAAAACTTCGCCACACCTAACTACTAATTTGGAGGGCCAGGAGACTCTGTTGGTTAGGCCTCTACCCAGTGACCGACCTGGTATGAGTGACTGCGAGGTTCGCATGGACTCCCCTAGTTTAGCTTAACGGGTCGTAGAGATACACATCACACCATGGTAAGAGCGTAGAGGAAACAGTCATTTGCCATAAGATTGCTGAAACAAAATGGAGAAGTAACCTGATGGCCTCACCAGGACTCCAAATGTAGGTATAAGGCGAAGTGTTCTAGAACAGCCTATTCGGTATGCATTCGGTATGGGAGAGGCTGCACCAGCAGCTTATACAAGAAATGGTTAGGTTGCGATATTGAGTGGTCTTCTTAGATGAGGCGAGTATTTTCTTACCTTCATCGGTGGAACGGGACACTCTGGCTGAGCTCAATCTCTTGATGTCGTCCCGGAGGCACGTTGACCGGAGAATAGAAATAGTTCATGTTTGGACAAGATCCAGCTGGTCCAAATAGTCGTCTTGCAGCTAGCGGTGCCTGAGAAACACAGCTAGCTGAAGCAAGATATCGTGTATGCACAAGCAAGTTTGAGGCATCAGCGAAAAAAATGCACAGCCCAGTATTTCAAGTCACGGACCACAGCAAACTAGATACCACGAGCGAGGTGGATAACTGGGACGGGCAATTATGCACAGCACTCTGATGGGCTAGTCATGCACAAGCCAGGAAGCGTGCACATTCCGATTGCATTTTTGCACAAGCTAAAATTGAGGCGCTCAGTATTTGCATAAAGGAATTGAGTTTTCGACGTGCCCTTGTTGGATTAAGCAATCATCCACCTCAGCTAGGTGTACAAGTTTAAAATTTTGAGCCCAATTCAGGCATCCCGCGGTCTGAGCGATGCTGAGAAATTATTGCAACAGACTTTCCCGTGTGATTGCTTCTGATGCCTGGTGGTTTTGCTCACAGGTGATTTCCGGAGACCGGTCGCACGGATCAACTGAAATAATTTTCGAGCATTACCGGCCTTCTGTGTCCACCACACTTCACACTTGGCTCGTATGCTCACTTTCACTTGATGTCTGATAATTCTTCGCACCGGGTTATGTCCGGGACTAGCTGGGATATTTCTCCGAGATTTAAGCAGTGCCACCGTTCAGTCTGATATCCAGTGCTTGCGTGCGCCTGTTTGGGCCGTGCCACAAGCACAATTTCGGGCACTATACAGAGAGGTGGCCATCACGTCCCAGTATGCGTTCACATCTGCTGGTGGAGCCTTTGGAAGTGACTCTAGAGGACGCTTCTGGTAAGTTGATCTAACATCCGGATCAACCAGTCTCTCAGTTGCCATGCGGCTTGTCCTCAGCGGCCCGGAAAATGAGTTAACGAGTACATGGTCGGAATCCACAGATGCGTTCCGAAGCGATCGACGGTTATTGATTCGTCGCATCGGTGTCGTATGGTAGTGTGATCGATTTGAGTTTGTGGCCGGCATGCCGTGTGGCCAGAAGACTTCGGCTGTTTCGGAAGTTAGTACTGCATGAAAACAGCCTGCGATCATTACACAGCTGAAGCAATCGTTCCCCATTGTTCGTACGTACCGAATCCAATCCATCGACCTCCTAATTGAGTCTCAGGTACACTCAGCTTGCCCACTTTTGCATTCATATCTCCGGCAACCCCAACTATATCTATGTACCTCTGACGTACCTCTCGTACTAGAGGTTCGGTTGCTCCACAGAGGCCTATTTATCATGATCTTCATCTGTAAACCGCGAGTATCTGGTACGGTGTCGACCTCCTGAGTCTCAGGTACACTCAGCTTGCCCACTTTTGCATTCATATCTCCGGCAACCCCAACTATATCTATGTACCTCTGACGTACCTCTCGTACTAGAGGTTCGGTTGCTCCACAGAGGCCTATTTATCATGATCTTCATCTGTAAACCGCGAGTATCTGGTACGGTGGTTTTAGAAACTACAGTTCCGTTCGCCAATACATAGATATAGGTAGGTAGCTGCGCATCGCAGGCAGTAGCCTATATGATTGACGCGTGGATTCAGGAGTCATCATCATCGGCAGTATTACACTAGTGTTCAAAACCGGTGGTTCACTATCATAAATCCAGGAGTGGTGGTGGACTCTCCACTGGGAGTCTGAGACATGTCCTATTCGCCCAGCCATGTATTTGATGGAGACGAAATAGTAACACTTAGTCCACGAATTGACAATGAACTGTGAAATCCCGTATAGTGCTCCCTGGGCCTCCGCTCACAGATATCGAGTACGCAGACGACATAGCTCTTCTGGGATCTGATCCCGCTGTAATCCAAACAATATTAAATAATCTAAATAATTCTGCCTCGCGGTTCGGCATGCGCTTCACACCTTCAAAGTGTAAAGTGCTACTGCAAGATTGGGTGAGCGGACTCGAACCCTAGCCTCGTGCTTGCGGATGAACCGATTGAGGTAGTAGATAAATTCGTTTACCTGGGCAGCTGTATCAGTCCCGGTGGTCTTACGAAAGATGAAATTTTCATCCGGATTGGGAAGGCCAGAGCAGCTTTTGCGAACCTACGTCACCTGTGGCGTAGGCGTGACATCAGCTTCTCAGTCAAGGGTCGAGTTTACAATGCTGCGGTGCGCTCCATATTACTATATGGATCAGAAACATGGCCGCTGCGCGCCGAGGACGTCAAAAGACTTTCAGTGTTTGACCATCGATGTCTTCGGAGCATTGCCCGAATCTGGTGGGAACACCGGATCAGCAATTCTGAAGTACGTCGAATGGTATTCGGGAGAAATAACTCACCCTCGATAGATGAACTGATCACACTGCATAGGTTGCGCTGGCTTGGCCACGTGTTGCGTATGCCAGTCGACCGACTTCCTCGAAGGGCTCTTCTCGCACAACCACGTGAAGGGTGGAGGGGAGCCAGAAGTGGTCAAACAATGACGTGGCAGCGAAGTATGAAAGCAATTACTAGCAAACTCAGCTGCGCTGGTCACTGCCGTCTTCCTGGATGGGGACCCCGAGACGGGCCACATCAATGGCTAGAGACATTGTCAGATATGGCCCAGTCGCGCCCTCAATGGCGCTCGTGCATCCAAGCTATTACCTTCAATGCATAGCTCCTTTTCCAACTCCCCCCACTTGACAGCTCACTGTACCTATCCCCTCCCCCCAAAAAAAACATCGGTGAACGAAACTGCGGCAGCTACAACCACTGTACGACGAGTACGTGGTTATTACAGCTGACAAAATGAAATGAATGAAATGAAATCCCGTATTAGTCAACTCAGCTGCGCTGGTAATTGTGGTCCCCTCAAATGGGGACCCCGAAACTGATGGTCACTGACCCCGACATCACCCACAATGCTTGGCTATATTCGCCACGTTCTCTCCTTTTCCAATGAGCGATAAGTTTAACCGAGTTGATGTAATTGGATTGCTACGCAGCCAACGGCGATGTCGCATCAAAGCCATCGCCTTCACTACATGGTCCTATCCCTCTACACTATATCGGACAAACAACCGCCATAGCGTCATAGAGCGTGCTGGGCCATCGCCTCCAGTGTGCGGCTTATGTTCTCTAAATCTCCTTATCCCTGGTGAGTGATGCTGTGTCAGCTGGTATTATTGCCCTTCTGTACACGATTTTCAGATGGGAAACTGAACCTAAAAACTGACCAGAAAACAATAGTAGATTTTTCCAGCTACCATGAAGGTAAAAGATGGTAAGTTCAAACTGTAGGAAGCACAATATTCTGTACATACATGTACATACATGTACATACATGCTATTCATTCTCTTTGTGTTTCTGTATTCCACAACCCGCATCTTTTTAGTGGGTCTTAATCGATACCGTGAATAGTGGTGGATAAGCAGCTGATGTCTACGAAATGGTTCAAGAAGTTCTCCACATTTTGTTTTTACTTTAAAATATCCTGCTGGCAAATGACTTTTCCGAAATTTTTTTCAGACTAAGCATTTAAAGTAAACGTCGAATTGCCAGTGAGATTTCATTAACCGAACTTGACCGCTCACTATTTCGATATTGCCTCGAAGATTCCTGCTTTCCGGTTATGTTGTTTCCCGCTGTCAGGCTTTGGGCTCGTTCGTTACAGTACTGGTCTTTTTCAATCCAGAATTCCAGCGTTTTGTACTTTGGCACCAGTTCGACACTCCAGTTTGCCAAAAACAGAAAACCGATCAATGAAGAACTTTCAGATTCTGATTCAGAAGTCGAAGACGAAGCGTCTGAGTGGAAGTCGGATGACCCATTTTATCCAGAAGATGTCACTTTCAACCCGAATTTCCGCCAGATGATCAGTCATGTGCAGTCGCTGCGCTACGACAAGCTGTTGCGTGTTGGGTTAAATTTGACCCGAATGGCGTTTGATGAAGCATTATTCTCCGGTCGTTTAAGGCTCAATAACCAGAAAGTTTTGAAGAAAGGTTCTGTTCTTCGTGCAGGCGATAAGCTTGACATGATTACCTCTGAAGATGATGGAATAGCTTGCGGAAAACGAGTAAGGTTAATTCACTTTGACAAGCTACCTAACACATACAAGGTTATACTCCGCTGTTGGAGATCCAATGTGAAACTCTAACCGTTGTATTGTTTTTGCCTAATATAAACCTCTACTACAAACGGCTTTGTTTTGTTCGGTCAAACTTTGTACCATATTCCTGCACTCATTTTTATTAAAACTTTTTTTAGTCGAACCGTATCCGAACACTCTTTGTGAATCGACCGCCCTTGGCTTTGGCCCTAATCACACTTTTGCTGTGTGCTATTGGTTTGCTTGCTTTAGATGTTCGAGTTCGGGTATATGAACTGAAAGATCCCGATGTAGAAACGGTATGTGGTTATTTCCCAGTTTAAATGTAGTCATTCTTTCATAACCCTGGTAGCATTGGAGCCAGCTTCTCCTAGAGTTATCCAAATTAGACTTTTGTATAAGCAACTCGACTGGGGCGAAAACGTTATCGGAGTCTCTGGCAGCTGCCGAACGATTACCAGGGAAACTTGTGTCAAATTATGAGACAGATTCAGATCAGGTCACTCATTCTGTGGAACAACATGTCCTGCTTTACCCAACCACCTTCATTCGACCCGGCACTATCTACGCCGTAACAGCCGATATGCGTGGAAGACACATCGGAATCAAAGGTAGGTCATAGTTATTGCGGTTCAATAACTTCCACACTTGTTGATCATTCACTTCTTTCGGAACGATACACGTGAGTACTGCATCTTCTTTGAGCTCCTTACCTTCTTCATTTCGGTGTTTCGATCTTACATCAAGTTGTAGGTTTTATGACCATATACCCCATTAACTTTGGCAACTTCAGACATATCGGGGAGGGTATAATATGCCTTCTTCGTCAATGTGGCACCATTTCTCTTCATTAGGTAAATGCCATTATAAAATCAAAATGTGTGGAAGTTTATGAATTTTAGTCTTTTAGTATTGCTCATTTTGTCAGCTCCTGTGTTTCTACGTACAATGGCCTTTAGCAGCAGAAAATTTTGCGAACATCGATGAATCAACCGCCGACGTGCTCGCTGTCTACTTACCAATTGCGATTGGTGAAGCGAATAGTGAACTTCTATCTGGTCAAACTCATACTGGCACACTCTTGAGACCGGCCAAAATCGTACTCAACTTGAGAGCGAATTCCCTTAGGGAGAATAAGCTTCTAGCCCTCTAGGTACAGCGTTCTCTCGCACACTTTTGATAGATAAGAGGAACTAGTATGTGCTTGCTGCTGACCCTACAACAAAACACAACATCAGGACATCAAGATGCTATCAGGTCACTCACTTTCGTCAGTCACCACGTAAGATATACAGTGGTATTTATTTGAGCACAGCAACAATGTTAGAAGGGCGCACGCATAGAGCTCGGCGAAAAACAACGTCTTAGGTAGGTACAAATCACGTGCTGTACACTTCTGTGCGTATACGGTTGGTCGAGTGAACTGTAAGTTTCGACTATGCGAAATTACGTTGAACGCTGCAAGACTATGTTATCGTTCACGTTTGCATCAGTATGATACGAAGATCTGTGGGTCATTATCACTCCGATTTACTCCACTCATGTGGAATACCGCATCTGCTGCGTATCTATCCGTTTGGGTGCAAAATGGCTGACTGGAAGGTCCGTGGTTCAAGCCCAACTCCAACGTCTTAAATACTCCTGTCTAGGCTTGGACCCCTCGGCAGTATCCCAACCCTCGTTAGTTAGCTTCTCCTAATGTCAGCGTCAGATACATTGACATAACCAGATGCTTGGGAACCAGAATAAAGAAGCACATCTCAAGACATTCTCAGGAATCAGAATCTCAGTGTCCGAAACCGACCGCAACTAGTCCCATTTTACACATTGGCTGTGTTGTTAACCCAGTGGCTGCTTTTATACGTCATCATACAAGCACATTATGAAAGCCATGGTTGTACTTCATTTTAGCACTCATTGTTTTGGTTTATTATCGACCTACTGACTATTTTTTATTCGCATAACTGTGGCTGCAAATGTCACACGTGTTCAGTCATTCGCCCTTTTTTTTAACAAATTAGACCGAACCTCCCACGTGACATGTCCCACTGAACTTTTGCGAGTCCGCTCTGTCACTAAGTTGTTATTTGTAACTCGTGGACTGACTGCTAGGCTGCTATCGAGATGACCATGCGCAAGATACCTTACACCCTTAATATGAGGCAACATGAAAAAGCTGACAGCTCCCTCCTGCCAATCTGAAAACGTTTTTCTGCTGTGAATGATTGCCTGAGACTAATAATCACTAACCATTTAATAGGTATTTTCTGCTAAAGGGGTTAGCCTCCACCTTACTGAGGACGGAAGGGCTGAAACGTGGCGGAGGTATTATTGGTCCGCTATTTGGCTTCTTTTCGTGTAAAAAGTAGTTCCGTGACGCTATATGAACGAGCATCTCGAGAATTTTTTTTCCAGATTGGTGCAACTGCGGGGTTTAAGAGAATCGGGTTTGGTGAAACGAGCTATTTTCAATGAATTGACCAGAACCTGAAAGATTCCACCCATTAGTAGCAAGTAACACTTCTGTTCGATAAGTTCGTCACTCATTGACGGGTCAGCTCCCCACTTGGTAGCCCTTACCTTTTACCAAGCTCTTAATTGTGTCTCGTGGTGGTTGCTTGCATGTAGCACAGTCCACACCGAGTCACATCGCTCCACAAACAAACGAGAAGCCTTATTGCAGACAGGTGATGTGTGATGACAATACCAACGGGTTCGACAGAGGGGTCTAATTGCGTGGTTTATGTTGACATAAAACATGGACTACTGATCGCAGTACATTCTATCGAGTTGCTTTTGAACTCGAGGTTATCAACAATCATGCTACCGTAGACCCTGAAAGAAGGCTACGAGGACAGGCGTGTGCTACTGAAAACATGTCATGCCTTGAATGCTACTTGTTTTAGATTGTTGCAAAACTACGCGTCCCATCATGAGGTCCGCGTATCCCGTTATGGGGATTAGCCGCCGTGAAATTTCGCCCCGTGCACACTAAAAACTTTCTAAGCAGTTGAATTTCCCAAGGGCATGCATTTTACTGATAAATGAAGTATGATTCTTTGGCACAGGCCATTTCCGCAGTCACTGATGGACTGTACTTTTGGTCAGTTTTGATTCACTATAGTTTTTTCTCAAAACCCCAGGATCTCTGGCGTTGCAGCCGTTCCATGTCACTTTCGAACTAACTCTTAGTGAGCAACCTCAACGTGAAGTTTCGGGAGATATTCGGCCGATGCGCTTGATTTCCTGTGTGCAGTTGATTTCTTCGAAAAAAATTTTACCCCAGAGGAAGTAAGTTCTTTTGCATGTTCCCTAGATTGGTATGTTGAGAAATGGCTTTTTGCGCTTGCCTGTAGCAGTTTTCTTGCATTATCGTTTTCCACGAAGAACGCTCGTCCCATTCGGTAGGTGTTTATTCCTCGAAGCCCTCTTATTTTACTTGCATTTTTACCCTGTTAGCGCAACTTGACCTGTATGTAGTGACTCTAAAAAATCGTCAGCTGCAACACCCTTTCTCCGACACAACCTCATTCGTCTGGCTTTTTCCTGTCGCAAAAAAAGATAGATACTACGTCAATGACCAGGTGCTTACGGGTTTCCTAATGAGGATGGTCAGAAGTGAAGAATAACTACTCGGTAGTGATTGGAGAGAAAATTCTTCTCACTCTTATTTCATGATCCAAAACAAGAAGCTATTTTAGTGGGATAGCCATGTGAGTGAACCATTCCTCCCTAAACAAAGCTCTTTTGAACGTATCCACAAGTCGTTCTGCCATGATGTTTGATTGTGGATGATGTGGGGGTAGTTCTAACGTGTTCGATCCCACTGGCAAGGAAGAGGTCCGCGAATTAGAACGACGTGAACTGTGTCCCGTTGTCAGATACGAGCCTTCGGGATGGCCGAAACGACTGAAGATTTCCTAGAACTTCTTACTGGTTGATGTGATCGTCGTTGTCCTCATGGGGAAGATCTCTGGCCAATTATTATAAGCCCCCACGATTATGAGAAAACTTTGACCGTTCATGGGGCCTGCATAGTCCACCTGTATCCTTGATCATGCATTTTATGGTACCGGTCAAGAACGGAGTTCACATTCTCTAAAGAACTTTGAAGGCAACGCACATTGGTGGCAAAATTTGGCGAGCATTTTGACTTGGCTGTCAATATGAGACCAACAAACAGCTTCGGATCAACTATTTCATTCGGTTGATCCCGGGATGTCCTTTATGAAACTGTCTCACACAAGCCTTTGCAGCTACTCTGGTATGACCACGGGTTCTGCGAACGCTAGGCAGTCGCCAACAACGAAAATTGACGATCGAGTTGGATAAAACTAGAACATGATACTTCTTTCCTTGACTCAGCAGCGGATCCTGTATGGTTGTGTTGCCTATCATTGTGAATGTGATTGGAGTACCTTTGCTAGCTTCCATAAGCGGTCATCGTACTTCCTGTTCAGCTGAGATCTGAGTTATAAACGCAAATCTTCCGAGTCCGGCAGTCGGTTTTCTGAAATGCGGTTTTTGACCATGCATCTGCCTGACCGGTCTCGTCAGTCGATTTACAGCTGATGCTGAAGTTGTAATCGAGTAGCATTGCAGCTCATCTTTGAAGTCGTTTGGCAGAATAGACATGAATGCTTTTCTTGGATCTGAACACGGCTAATGATGGTTTGTGTTCAGTAATTAATGTGAATGTGCGGCCACAAGGCAGCTTGTGAAACTTTTTCACAGCAAAAGCAATTGTCGAAGCTTTTTCGGTCTGCCTGTAACTGCATTCTGCAGCTGTCAAAGATCGCCTGGCATGGGCCATGGCTTTCGCCGAGCCATCTTCAAACGTATTGTAAATGACTGCGCACATGCCGTAACTGGATGTTAATCGCGCATCCTGGCGTCAAGGCAAAATCACTCGGCGAATCGGAAATGTCATCTAGGATATTGACGTGGATTCGGAAACGTGGGTTTGTCAATCAAACCATTTGGAAGAAGCTTATTCCCAACCCACCCGAAGTTTGATTACATTAGGAGACTCGTTTAATCCGAGTCATCTACATTTCGAATACAACTTGATTTTGTAGAATATCCGAAAAGAAGGTGCGGAAAAAATGAAGGGCTTTCCTTTCGATATCGAAAGGATGTACTAGGACCATGAGTCGACATTATGGTTTATGCGTCATCATCTTTAGATAACATTGAAATTCCTCCAGGCACAGCCTCAATTAAAATGAATCGACTCTCATGTGTCTTGAACAGGTCTATCTATCATCAAAGCAGCTGTATTTGCTCATTCTGGAGAGTCATCATCAAGGCATTATTTCACCGAAATTCTCATGACAATGTCTCTTACCTTTAGGATTTTGCAAACTTCCCAAAGTCACTATGGCACACTCCAGGCTTGTGAGTCATTTAGCAACACAGAGTGAACCTCTTTTCCGATGTCTTACATTTTTTGCCGTAACATCTTATGGAGGGCCATTTCACAGCGAGGCATGTAATGAGAATTAGAAAAACATTCATAAAACACCTATGAGCACAGAGTACTTTTTCTGGCTAGATTCCTAAGTTTACTGCTCATCAAAATAAATAACCTCGGCAGGCAAACGGACCCTCTCTGTTAGCACTCTACAATATACTTTGTTTTATTCCGATATCACCCGAACTTTTTCACCCATGCGAGTTTGCATTAAACGTGCGATTTGAGGCTTGTATTTCGGGTCTCCAAGTCCGGCTATCTGGACTATTTTTGCGCCGTCAAGGTTAACGCTATCGTTTTCTGCTAAAGGCTGTAAGATGATAACCGTATAATGTTTTTTCAAGTTCTCCTGACCCACACCGATTGCGTATTTCAATTCACCTGCCGTGTATACTCGGCGGAGAACATCGGGCAAACATCTGTTGACAGCTTCGATACAGGCGCTAGCCTGCATATGGTTCAACGGTCTCTGTCTGCTGTAGTAATGATCACATTGACTTGATAGCACATAATTAACACAATTTGGCTTTAGGGATCGCCGAAACCGGTTTATACTGAAGCGCCAGTAATCGACACAACCACAACAGTGAGGGAGGTTATTATCCATTTGGGTTGGTGTGACCTCACCTTCGTACAACAAACAAGATGGGAAACGAGACAATTAATTAATGGTAATCAAGTGACCACGATGGTAGCCACTTTGACGCTCACGCATAGCCACATAGTCAGTAGACTAGCTCCCAAGAATCGCTCATACACCATGGTCTGCGGAAGCTCAGCAGTCAATAAAGTCCTATTCCGTACGCGTGCTCTTTTTTGTTATTTATTTTGGTTGCCGACACGCTATGGATAATGCGTACCTGTCCAACTGTGCAACTGAATTTCAATCGTTAGCGATCCATTTTCCCAACACAATTCCAACTCATTCCTTTCTGTTATTCTTCAGCCTTCGTGGAGCTTGCCGTAACCATATTTTTCCTCCGAAGGACACCTCCGTTGTGCAGTATGGCCGCCTTGAATGGACAAAACGTACGGACGTTTTCACTTCAAATCGCTGTAACGGGCGTATACGACTGAGAACCGATTTCTCCATATCCGATGAGCTTTTGCCAGTTTTGAAAAGTGTGGGTGCTAATTCTAACTTTCTTGTAATGCTTCATTTGTTCGAACCGTCTCTTGATTGTCACATAGTCGTAGACACTGTGATAACCGAGCTTTATACTCACCCTAGAGTAACGCATCAATTAGTAGTGTTTTGGTTGCTGTACGTATCCGGACCCAACGTCCCTTCCCTTGTAAATTAAACAAATGGGTTGATTATCTAATCTTAGGCTTATACCGAAGTGCCCACCTAACTTTTGAATTGTAGGTGATCCTATTATCTTGCTTTTTGCGCTGAGTCCTGGTAAATGCTGATTGGATGGCACGCTCCAGGCTTGCAGGGATTTACTAGTCGAAATTAGCTCATGCCATGGTCACATATTGGAGGTATCGTCTCATTGCTAGCGTCTTCATATCTGGCTGCATGATTGTAACCAAGATTGGCCAGTATTGTAATAGAGGATTACAGTACAGTTAAATGAAGACATGAAAATGGTGATAGGGGACTGAGGGCTGAGACAGAAAGGCGAGTAGTGGCCATCCTACGAAGATTGTCCATGGAACGGAAGGCAATATTAACAGGTTTATATCTGTTCTAGCTCTGCAAATCCTCTGTTAGTACATTAATCCACCAAGAGATGAGCGAATTTACTGACCGGAAGGTCCGTTGTTTGAATCTGACCTCCTCCTCTCGACTTCCCCTTCTAGGTTTGGCAACCTGGCAGTATCCAAGCCCTCTTGCTTCTTCCGAGTAGCATGGCAGTTAGGCACCGAGTGTTACAGCTGAGCGATTTTTTCAATCCCCCAAGAGAGACCAGTGTAAGAAACTAGGGTATTTGGCCTCTCCCGGGCGCTGTCTTCAGCAGGCTCGCACACTAAGTCATGAATGACAGGATGTCGTTATGGACTCTCCACGGAGTGGCCTTTCTTCCGTTATTTTTTTGGCTTTTGTAGCGATGTAATGCGAAAACTCAACACACGGTGCCTGACTTCAAGCGCTCAGGAAATGTTTTAAAGTCCTCCAGGAAATTTTCATCCGATTCGGCAACCGGGATTTTTTGTGTGGCTTGATTGGGTGATCCGGAAAACTTGATAAAGAAAACCGGCACGCTGCCCCCTTATACACTGTATTAGTTTTCCTGATCGTATTGCTCCATTGTAGGGCATTAGCAGGAGTACGAGTTATCTAACTTTTTGAGAGACGTTTCTTTGTCATGCTGGTCTTCCACGGATTATGTAGACTGGAGCACGGTGAGCTTTCAGTTAATAATCTCGTGTGCAGATTATTTTTCTGACGACGGTGTTCATTATTTCTCCTGCAGAAGGACATCGAACTGATTTCATTCCATTTACATGTCATCGTCGCCTTCCTTTTTGGGATCGTTTTCGGAACCTTGCTTCTCTATGGTCTGCTATCGGGTCCAGTGTCTTCGCCCTCGTAAGTATCAATACGATTTATTTCTTTTTTTCAAGCCGTAGTCCTCTCGGGAAACGCTGAAATTCATATTACTTTGAAGCTAGTGTTGATTTGGGTGAATGGGTTTCCATAGGAACTGGGATCCTGTCTGGTTTCAATTTTTTGGACACTTGTGTTTGTCATGATTCTGTCACTTATTTCGATGGCTGCATGAATACCTGTTTCATTTGTACTCACCACACTTTTCTATTGGCTTACAGATGAAAGCACTTATCAGCGGTAATGCAGCAGATCTTGAACGGTACATTCATTAGAGAAGAAAAATGTTACGGACGCACTCTTTTTACTCGGTTTAACCGGCATTTAAGAACGTGATCACAAGATTGAAAAACCACCTACCTTCTCATCAACACAGTTGCTTCCTTACTTTGTTAGAGCCATCATTCCATTAGTTTCTAATGCAATCTTTGGGGTCCGTACTTTGTCTGTTTTCAGTCAGCCTGATGTAATCCTGATTGAATAATCTTTTTCGCTCACTCGAATAAACATCCCCTTGCTTTCCAGTGAAACAGATTTGATCTTTTGTGACACGTTTCCGTATAATTATAATCCTCAATTACGTGCACTACTTGCACCGCACGGCGAAGTAATAAACTTTCTAAGTCTTTATAGAAAAATATATCATTGAGATTTCGTTTCATGGTCTGTCAAGGTTTAACCGGAAGGCTGTGTCGAATGGTAACGACAGTCCACCCCCATTAGGTCTGTGCGTGACCTGCTATTTCCCTGTGCTCGTCAATGGGCACCTTCCGTAGAATATCAGATCATTAGGTCGCAACTGCTTCAGCTGTTGATGTAAATCGTGCTTCAACAAACAGCCGGCCGTATTGATTGGTGGTTAGAACTCTCGGAAACACGAGGGAAGATGGTTGGGCTTGTGAAACAGCATCAGAGGAACAGTGTGATTCCTAAAGACCGTTAGTTGGTGATTGTTGATATGATCCATTTTGTTAGAGGATCGCCTATCATATGGTCAGACGGTCTTTGTCCGGAGGTGGACTTCCAATCATTCCAATGAAAAAATAGGGATCCTAATAAGAGATGGCTTCATATGGGAGATGAATCCTTTGGGGGTACACTTAGACAGGGAGTCTTGAAGGACGGAATATTCTCGTCACTTCGTGTGACAATTTTGCCCGTTTCTCCAGCGAGTTGTTAACAGTCTGACTTATCTCAGCACATTTCTTCTGCGACAATGTGGTGTTCAATACAGTGGTGCGGGTAGAATTTTCTGTTAGTTGAAGCTGTCAGTGAAGACCGTGTTACTCTTGAAATTATTCTATATTTTCTCGAACATTTTTCTCGAATGACTTGCTCAAAGCTTTAATGTTCCCGACCAGGCAGTGCAGTTGTTGCTTCAAAGCAGATTTTTGAGTTCCTCAGCGAGCTAAGCAGATTTTGGTAACGCTGTTCGTAAGTTAGCCTCCTCTTTAAGACGCGTTACAACAATACCATTAACATTTGGGTGCGCGTGCTTATCGTGTGTTGAAATACGAACCGACTGACTTCAAAACCTGTGCGCCAGACGAGCCTGCATAAGCTGCACCCCATTAATAATATGCAGCAGAAAAACTGGAAGTCGTAACATGGCAGCTTTTCTCACTCATGGAACTTAGTATCATTGACATTTGATGTAAAGCAATTAGGGATGGCAACTTTCTCCGATCTTTTCTCTGATGATGATATAGCCCTATACGAATACACGCAAGGAGTCCTCGGGAGTCGAGGTAGCATGAGAAAACCGGTTAGTATGTGGGAACAGATATTCGTACAATGGGATCCGATTGGCAGTACATGTTGCTGTTTGTTAGCTTACTGCACGGTTGATGGGAGGATTCTTATCTGTTCCAGTCGGGCCAGCTCAGGGCATTATAAAATGATCCTAATGAAGGGATGAGGAAAATGCGAGTTGAGGACCGTATGTATGATTAAACTTTGAATGCAATTCGCCGTCACTCTTCTGAACTCCGTTAAGTTCACATCGATGACTGTGAGAATACAGTGAACGGCTTATAGCCTGCAAGTTTCCACGCAGCACCATTTATAAGATGAAAATGCAGGCGGTCGTATCGTTATTCCACAGCGCATTCAAATTCTGTTGTCGCGCCTTTCTAGACACTTTGGTTAGGAGCAGATCACCTCAAGCGCTCTTTGTATTCTATGAAAGGGTTTGTAAAGATCCACGTTTGTCTCGTATGAATTATCGGAGGTGTTATCGCGAAGGCCCAGGTGTCCCCAAAATCATTGCACACTTTGCGTGCTTACGAAACGTGTTTGTTCCACTTTCCTGAATCAGAATTCGTAGCACTGGAGACACTTATTGCAATGATAACACTCAGCTCAAGATAGGTCAGTATTTAAAGGGCGAACTTATTGACGGAACGTCCGTGGTTCGATTCCAACCTCTGCTTCTCGACTGATCCTGTCTAGGCTTGGGCAATTTGGTAGTATGTCATTCCTCGCGCTTCCTTTGGGTAGAATGGCAACTATGCACCTCAATGGTGTTACAGCTTAACAGTTATTACTGACAATGATAACTCACTCTGTCATTGTCTTCCGTAAGAGCGTCAACCAATTTCAGGGGCGCGCCACTTCTGATATTCACACAGTTATTGAGAATTTGGGACACATTGACAGATATGTGACAAGTGGAACGAACATTTTGGTCACTGGACCCAGATGTGAGCACTCTTATCCAGTGCACCATAGCTGTCTGTTTTTCCGAGGTTTTAATGCTCTCTTTAACCTTCACTTTGTAACAGTGTATGAGGATGTGGTAGTTGGTCCTCATGACAGGTAAGTAATATGATTGTGAACGTTACCCCTAATCGGGACACACCTTTAGCAGAGGTCAGAGCCTAAGGATTCACCTGGCGATCAGAAATATCTACCTACCACTTGTTTATGTCCAAAATGCGTACAGAGACCCAGATGTGTATCAGTGGCCAAGTTGTAGATCCTCACAGAAACCTCAATCCGAGTATTTCAGTCGCAGAATTTCATCCTGTGGTCTATTCGACCACCTGTTTACGCTGGCTAAGCTGGTCCTGACTGGTGTAACTAGTGTGCTCCCCCTTCCTCTGTGAGTCTTGGTGTATCTCATTTCAACACAATCATCATTCGCTGGGAATCATCCAACTCTCCTAAGGTACTAAAGTTTCCAATTCGACACACCCGTTCTTTCTAGTTGGTTACCAGCTCGGTTTGTCATTTTCTAAAATGTTAAATTGCATGATGATAAACACCTTCTAAAATCATGCTTTTTTCTGGTTTCAGACTCACCAGACATCTCTGATCCACAAATCCTTCATTTCTTCGTCTTGAAAACGCCACCAAACATCTCGAAAATTGACTTTCATCTCTTTCTGATGTATATGCTGTGATAATTATGACTGTCTACTTTTGTAATGCTTATTTCTGCAAGCGAATAAATGTTTTTTGTTAGGTATTCCTTCTGCTTGGGTTTTTTTCAATTGTCGTTTGTGTTGTCATTTGGGATCATTCAGGTCGTCCTGTATTTCGGTCCTGGCTTGTTCGCTTAGTTCGGCAATTTTTTGAAAACGTCTTACAACCATCGTCGTTGTTGAAGAACTATTAGTTTCTTTATTTTACGATAGCTTCCCTTAGCTTCCAACACGGACAGACAGCACACACCATTGCATCCAAATCTATCGATATTTCCTTGTCTAACGTGTCTCTAAACCCCTCACAGTAGATGCAACGGCAAAATTAACAATCATTTTTAAAGTTTTGAGGTTGGGGTCCAAATAGAGACCAATTGAATACGGGTATTTCTGAAGTACCAGTCCAATGCATTGGACTTTTCTAATTATATGGTCAGCAGGTTCATATTCATGAGGTCAGCTGTGTCAACTTTGTGCCGCATTGACCGATGGTCAACCCCACTACATCCCACGACTGCATGCTTCTTCGATTTGATAGCCGTCAAACGTAGTAGAGCTGCTTCAAGAGGGTGATCATAAGGGCATGATTCTCTCAGTACGATATTTCGCCCCACTAAAAGAGAAACGGTGTATTTTCATTCAGTTTGGTTTTCTCTATGAAGGAGTGAAAATCTAAGTTGTTCCTGGGATTCAATCAAGAAGGACCTGCATCAATCCAGTGAAATAGTTTATTTCCACAAAGCCATGAATTTATGTTAGATGACAAACAGGATCGTTCGCCACTCTTCGCATACCCAGTTGGCTGTTCCCAGATGCTCGATATTGATAGGATTTGCAGCACTTGGAGGCAGTCAACCTCTGTTTGTCTGGATGGGAGTCACCGGGTGTTTCAAAGTGCAGTATCAACTAACGTAACCGGGTGTTGCCGACTGAGTACTCGAAGCCCGGGTTTATCGGTAATGAAAAGTTATTTAGCTTGGCTAGAGGGTGGTTTTTACGAATGCGCATCAGCCACGTTGTTAATTTTGTAGACCGCTGGTCTCCCCTTAGGCTCTATGTGGTCTAATGACCCTGCAGTCTGAGTGGAACACATCTCCTGACTATGTCTGGTCCTAACGGTGGTTTTTCTTTTGTTGAGGGAGTGATGATACTAGATATACGCTTTTTTTGCAAGTCGATGATGTAAACCCTCAAAGTTTATTGGCTCTTTTTTTAGTAATATTTTAGCTTTCCGGCCGAGTGAATAATGACCACTCTTGCAGCATTGAACAGGCTTCGTGAGGCGCATACTGCCGGACATATTAATATCAGCGATGGTGAGTCATGACAGTTCCCTGTTTTTTTTTGTTTGCCCGTCGTTTCTGTTTATTGTTTGAACTTTTTGTTATAAGTCAAAAGATCTTTTGCCTTCCGAGGTTTTCTGGACAATAATTGTGAATGACTGTTGGTCGAGTGACAGTTGATCTGTTCGTTGAGATTGGCAACCGGCTTGAAAACATTCCCGCACTATGCAACGAGATGTCGTCGGTGCGCCAACCGTGGATGATCTCTATCCGCTACCGACACCGGACCTTCCTGGTTGTTACTCCATACAAAATATGATCTTTAAGCTACTTTGAACAACTTAGATTAAACTCTATATTTTGATACTTAACTCCAAATCTTGAAAGTCAAACAAACCAACAAGCCGAATCCTCCATTATTTCTGTGGTTGTATGGTATCCCCAGATATTCATACATCATCGACGCCTTATCTGGGATCCGATAGGAGTACGTTTTTTCAAGACAACCGTGCATTTTTACACTAGCTGAACCAGCGATAATTAGTTTTTTCTCCCATTCACCTCAGGTGAACGTCTCCCTCTGGAAACACAGGCTAGTGCTGCAGAACAGGAAGCCGTGAGACAAATGGATCTGCGCAAAAAGGTTTGTAGTTTTTGTGTATTCGTTAATAGTTTTCTTGAAACGACTTCCTGAGACAAGTTGAGTGTGTACTCGATCCAGACATGGAATGTACCCACTGCTTTTTCTGTTTCACTCCATACGCCACTGGCATTGAGTGGTAATCATATTGCTGTAACGCGACACCTCTTCAACACTTTGGAATTAATAGAACTGCCTTTTATCCGTAGACTGTTTGGCAAACATGAATACGAAAACATGTGTCATCACCAGATTATCCTCAGCGTTATTATTACTCTTCCTTAGCTAGTTCTTGTGTGTATGGCTAACAGGTTCAAGACAGTCGGTCATCACTTTTAAAACGAACGATTCACCTACGATTTCCACTCATGAAAAATAGCAGCGTGTTTTATTTTCCGTGCTGTCTGGTTAAGACAATACACGAACTGTACAAGGCTATGACTACGCAGCAGTTCTAATAATCCTTCTGGCCTCATTATTTCAGTTTGTTGTCTCTTTGAGACCTTCGTTGTTTTTTGTGAGTCCGTTACTCGTTGCCCAAGTCTGAATTCACCTGTCAGCGCCCACCAGAGTGCTTGAGCTTACTGGTTGCTCGAGGACAGGCTAGTGCGTTGCACAGGTTTCTGATTCCCCAAATGCCCTAGCCCGATATTTCTACTCCGATCGATCATTGAACTTCATAAGGATTAGCCATTCTCACGTGTCAACAAAGTTAACAGAACTGTAACTCCTTAAATACAGTCAGGACTTACTTTGTACGAAGCGCAAACTAATGTGTTACTTAAGTTCACACGTTAATCTAGTTTCCAGATATCCAAACAGAACCCATCTTGTTGATTTTGTCCTGCTCCCTCAGGCTCGTCAGCTCCAAGTTTCTACTGAAGATTCGGAAGTGAAAGCATATCTTCGACAATTGGGTGAACCCATATGTAGGTATTTTAATTTTTTTTAATCCTAATCGTACTGCTATGCTACCTTTGTAATGAAATTGCGATAGGTTTTGTGTACATTTTTGTTTAAGTCCCCTGGTGACTAGTGATACTTTTCCACCTGCGAAAGGGTAGCTTCTGCTTCCCGCAACCCTGATATTCCAAACGTGATGAAGCCACTCACGTGAAATTCATGACAGGGGGTGGGTGCACTTTGAAACGGATTAGTCCCACTCCACTAATTTCAGATGACAGCACCATGCTATCGATAGTCACTTTAATTTTTTTTAATGGGAACCTTGTGCTAGCTCGGTCATCGACGTCGTTTTTTATGGAGCACAGAGACCGAGGTTACCTTTGAATTACGTATCAGATTAATTTGAAGTAAACCATGTGTGCTTTACTGGCTACTAAATTTGTACTTTCGGCACACATGCAGTTTGCTATCACTAGCTTTTTGGCTACATGACATAGTTTCCGCTCACAAAGGGAAAATTTTTTATGCAAGCTCAGCGAAATTTATCTAACGATGTTTAGCTAGGGTCCTTGTTGTCCGGTGTAGATCGATTGCCTTCTCTCCGTCTATGAAATTCCTCATTTATACGATCCGTTTCGTTACTAAACCGTACACTGTGTCTAGTTTGGGGCGAGATGGCCCAAGTGGTTAGAGCGCGAACTTACTGACCGGAAGGTTCGTGGTTCGAATCCGACCTCCGCCACTCGACTTCCCTGTCTAGGCTTGGGCAACCTGGGAGTATCCCAGCCCTCGTGCTTCCTTCGGGTGGCATGGCAGCTAATAACCGGAAGGGTGTTACAGCTGAACGCTTTAGCTTTTTTTGATCGTTTCTAGTCCTCTCCAACACGACGAAGCATTATTTCACCAGTCCTGGCAAATCGATGGTACATCGCTCGGCATAGTTGCCTGCAACGGTTGGTTTAGTCTGTCCACGAAACTATACGTTGATACCAAGTTGCATTCGAATATTTCAAAATAGTTAGCAGATGTCGTATCACAAAATCACTCAGAATTGTCTGGGGAATTATCGTGATTGGTTGGATTACGTAGCTAAAACACAGAGTGAGAGGAATAGAAGTGGCTTTCTAATTGTATCACGAACTTTATCTGTATTTACAGTGTTGCTGGAATGATACTCAGAACCTCTTCTCGTCGTGTTTAGCTGAGGACTACATAGATTTTTAGAACCGCCTTGTCCTCTGACCACTAAGTTCATCTTAGCAATCGTGCAGTCAAAGGCGCGTGCTATTCATCGTATCTCTCCATGGACATGCATTCCTTTTAACTAGCTACCTGTATTCCTATTACGGCTTCACAAAATGGGTATGCATCCGAGCCCCGTTGTGTGTACTATCCTGGGTAATTGACCATCTACCATTCAGTGAAAATATCTGAATTATTTACAGTAGGCCTCATTTTTCTGTTCTGTAGGTCTGTTCGGTGAGGATGGAGCCGATAGGAGAGAACGCTTGCGCATGCTACTTGTGATTAGTGGCGGTCCCGCCCAACGACCACCGCTCCCAGTTCCTGCCACAAGTTCAACAGCGGCCGTTTCGGGTACGGACAGTAGTACCACTTCTTTTCAACCGGGTAAAGATGTAAGTTCCACCGTTTCGAACTTTATTCTAAGTCATTTTGAAATTCGATGTAGCAGTCACCCATCAGAAGCACCCTAAAGGGTCGTACCTTTAAAGGCAGGTGTCTTGAGACAATTTTTCATGGTTATACGTATATAAAACCCCACGTGTCAACGTCATATGAGGCTAGGAAGCTGATCCTAATACGAAAGAAATATACCAGGATAATGCGTCTGCACTGCTTTGTAGCAGTGCTAGCTCGCTGCACTTCAATCATATTCAATCGAGAAAACTTATGGTCATCATCATCTATGTGAGGCGATTGTCGTTCAGTAATTAAAAGTGAATGCATGAACTGTATGAAACACATTCGCGTCCTATGTGAAAGTGGACTCAAACGCCCACGGAGGTCAACTTGCTACTAGTCCAAAAGACATCATCAGTCAGGATTGTCTCTATAGCTCATTGGTTGGCCACCACTTCGTTGCGTTTCTGGTTGAAACCTAATGATCAGCGTGTGATAAGATAAGTATCCTCCCATCATCCGAAAAAAATGCCCCGCACATTGGTTGTTCTTTTTCCAGACTATTTGCTAGGCGCGAAATTTGTTCACTGGGTTACTTCGGGTGCTTTTTACCCTAGTACACTCCAGCGTCCACTTGTTTTTGCACTCGGTTTTATTCATCTTCATCTGTGGGTTGTTTACCAGGGTACGCCTTCACGATGAAATTGTGAGTGTCACATTTCACTAGCTCACAACCAAACAGCAACTTCACTCGTTCGGCTGTTCCCCTCTTTTGTTCCTGATACCGGTATTCTACTTTGAATTTGCAGGATAATACCGTGTGGTATCACCAAGGTCCCGCCAGTTTAGCTGATGCTCGACTGTGGATTGCTGAGTACTCCTTGAATCGGGCTAAACAAAGGCTTGATAAGACCCGAAAGCACTACGAGGAAATGCCGGCAGCCCTGCGCAAAGCCCGATTGCAAGAATATCACAAGACTTTGAATGTAAGTTAAACCATCTCATCTAACACGTTTGTCTCCAGAACAACAAGAGCGGCATTAGAATTAATCCAACCCAGTAGTCGTTCTCAGTACGTGCATTTATTCAGTATATCTACAATGTAACCAGACCCCTAAATGTGTACCCATGTCGGGTGTTGAGCCATATCAGGAAACTGGTTGCGAGACAACTATTGAGATGTTCTCTGCACGATTCTAGATGTCCACCGCACTTACTAAGGTGACCTTCTAGCCAACCGATAACTTTTCTACCATGAATTGCTTCGGTTGTGCACTCCAGTCTCTTTTTTACTCAGGAAAGTGTGCGAGCGATATATGTTGTGGGCCATCGTGAACCTGTTGTACACTGGTTGTCTGTACTTTTAAACAGGGATGTGGTCCTACCTTTGCAAAAATTACCTGTTATGCAATCTGAAGGAAGCATGAGGTCCCTATACTCCCAGGTTTCCAAAGCCCAGACAGTAACACTCGTTCTGAACCCCGGTCAGTGGCTTCACTTTGTAACCACTGAGATATCTTGAACCGTCTGTGCAAAAAAGGCTTTTGGTTATGCAGGAGCTCCAGCAAGCAAATTAGGCAGGTCTAATGTATAGATGTCAGTGAACGCTCTGGTAAATGTTTCCCGGATTGTAGTTCTTTGGAATTTCGTCCGTCTGGTTGGTTCGCCAATAGTGTCCAGGACTCATTGAAATCCGACCCCAAATGTTTTTAGTCATTTTAGTCAGGTCTACCTAAATTTGTTTTCTCTTCCATTTGTACATTGTCTGTGGATTGGAACAGATTGGTTCTGGAACCCTTCTTCGGATATTAGAGACGAAACACACATTGCTGGTATGTGTTGCCGGGGCGTTGAAATCACGTGACCGCGTGATTTGTCTGAGCTCCGGGAATGGGATTTAAATAGTCGGTTTATGTGTCACGCTGATTTTGAACGATTTGATTATCCTTGGTTTTAAAGAACAATCTTAATATTTTCTCAACGAAACATTACCGCTATGTTTGCTTAAAACTTTTGGACCGCCCACGACCACTTTTGACGTTGATGCTAATCAGGTAAGCACAGCTCTCAGTTTTCACTGACCTCATGAGTAGGGTTCCGTCAAGACTACCGTATCTCGGATATAGCACCAATTGAGACATGGAGCAGATTTTATACGTCACATTCAGTTGAGTATCATAAACAAGGGATTCAGCTGTTTTCTGTTGGAGCGAAACCCGTGCGCAACTCAGTTTATTTCGCGATTAATCCAACTACTTTGATTCACATGGAGATTCAGAATTGTGCGTCGTATCACGCGGTTCACTCTAATTAGTGGCTGAGTAGGTTGATGGTTGATCCATCTGAAGTGGCTCATTGACGACTGATCGTTTGTATTGTTTCGTCCTTATGTATTGCATTACTGCGACGCTCCTAGATAAGCATGAAACAACTTGATTTCTCCCCTAGAGGCGTTATTCTGGATTTTAGCAGTCAATTCGTTTGCCGATGTTCGAGATTTCCGCTAGAGCCATCGCATAACCTGTGTTTGAAGTCATGTTTCTGGTGTTCCAACGTCGTGACCGTTTCTTCTATCCATCATGCATCTCCTATCCGCCTTCGTTACGTACGGGGTTGATAACAATGTTTTAGCGCTTTCTAATTGGGACCTTCATCATGGTACCCGCATGAAATACTGGTGCTTAGCTGTCATCGACACCAATTTCCATCAGTTGTCTTGCGTCCTGGAGTTTCAGCAACTAACCTAACGGCACACTTGCTATGGATCGCAATACGACCTGAGTTGCTTACACTAACACACTTTCTTTGTTATTAACAGCAATTTGGACTACTTTGCAGCCAGGTGGGAGACGTGCGGCCTTTGAGCATGTGCCGGTTTTCTCCGGATGGGAAGCAGTTGGCGACCGCCTCTTGGAGTGGCTTATGTCGCGTATGGAGTGTCCCAGATTGCGAGCTCAAACTCAATCTTCGTGGACATACGGCGTCTGTGTGTAGCGTAGTCTGGCATCCTCAGGCCCTCACACAACCGGAGCAACAATTAGCACTGGCCAGCTCCGCACAGGTCAGTCTTTTTCATGCTATCAAGCCTTCAAACTGTTTCGCTCACTTCATAGTATCACCACGCGATATGCCCTTGCCGAGTGTGATTGATTACCTCCTTGTCCAACCTCCATTATTTTATACAACTGAACTTTAAAGAGCTGATAGAATATCTATGACTATGTATAGGTGGTCAGTGGTGGTCAGTCCAAACCTACAGGAGCCGTATGTGGCTCACCAATGAAACCCACTGGTCCAGATTGCTGTTTTGTTTTCCGGTGACTTGTCTTCATTTTGTAGGTAACGTATTGCTTTTCTAGTTCTCTTACATTGTATATTATATTGTATTCTAGTATCTTATATCCTATCTTATTAGGTTTCATGTGATTCATGCATACATCTGCGCATAACCTCGGAACGATGTCGGAGGTGACTGTTTGTGACCATCTGTATACAGGCTAGACTGATTTTGGCTAGCAAAAACAAGCCTTTGGTACGTTTTTTGAGTGGTGCAGACCACCAAGCTACCCTTCGCGTACGCAGCGCGTCTCGGGTGTCAAGTCGTATGCGCATGATTTGGTAATTCTGGGTCATCAATACTACCAGCAGTACTACCTCGCCCTGTTAACTTCTGTCCTATTCTTTTGGGTTTATACTGGATGCATGCGCCCAGCCGGTTGCATACATGATGCAGTAAACCTGCATCTAACCGTTACCTGGTTTGCGCAACGGTCCACCGTCACAGTTCGGTGTGATAAACACAATCGCCGAAGCACCATGCCATCAGGTCAAATAGTCTTATTTCACTTGTTTCTTAAAACTATATTTAGGTTAGACATAGTGCACTACTTGTAAGGTTGCTGAAAACACTTCGACAGCCACAACCGGTTTCGCCCTTCCTGGGGCTCATCAGATAGGTGCAGTCCTCGAGTTTCCGTCAACCATTTTTTCTACTTGAAACCAAATTGCACGAAATTCGACTTTTGTGCTCATCTGCATACCAATTTGATTTTGACGGGATGCTCATCTGCGACCCGGCCGAATCTCCCATTTGCAATGCTCTTACTCAACTGAATCTGCAGCACCAGGCTGCTTCATGTTTCAGTTAGTACGACACGCAATACAATGCATGCGAATGGGTGTATAAGTGGTATACTTAGGTTGATTTCAGACAATATCTCTTCGCTTCGTATGTTGATAAGGTCTGTACGTCTAAACCATATCATTTTCATTAGGATGGAAGTGTCAAGCTCTGGAGTCTGGATAACGAAGAACCCCTGGCTGATATCGAAGGCCACGCACCCTTCCGTGTGTCTCGTGTGGCTTTTCATCCATCCGGCCGATTTCTTGCCACCGCCTGTTTCGACCATTCTTGGCGTTTGTGGGATCTGGAGGCGTGTGAAGAGGTACTCCATCAAGAAGGGCATTCGAAACCAGTCTACGATGTGGTTTTTCACCCTGATGGCTCCTTGGCTCTCACTACCAGTCTGGACAGCTTTGCCCGAATTTGGGACCTGCGAACGGGTCGCTGCATCATGTTCTTCGAAGGTCATTTGGAAGAACTTTTGGGTGCTGACATTGCTGACAATGGATATCATGCGGCCACAGCCAGTGCTGATAATACAGTTCGCATATGGGATTTACGACAACAGCAGGCAATTTATGTTCTCCCAGCTCACAATAATGTTGTGTCCAGCGTCCGTTTCGAACGTAAGTTATCCTGACATTTTTTTCTTATCCTTGAGATGTAATTGCGGGCACCTAACATTCGGTTTCAATTTTCTTCCAGCTCGTTCCGCGAACTACATCCTGACCAGCTCGTTTGACAAGACAGCAAAACTCTGGGGTCATCCTGTATGGGCTCCAATCAAGAAACTTGAGGGTCACAACAGCAAAGTGGTCTATGCAGATATTTCACCTGACGCTCAGTGTGTCGCCACCTGCTCACATGATCTCACCTACAAGTTGTGGAGCAAAAATCCCGATTTGTAGATGAAGGAAGCAGACTCATTCAGCCATAATCTTCCTGCTTGTGTTGACGTTTCTGTACAGTCCTCTCGTTTTGATCAAATAGTGATTTGCACAGTGATTATGTGTCTTGACTACTTTCAGGATAGGGTTATGCATAAATAATCATGTTTAGAATTATATGAACCATCAGTTACTCTCTGTAGACCTGAGCGACGTGACAGTCCTCCTACTTAGGCGTGACAACTGTGATCCGAGAGAACAGCACTGTTAACAGGAGATCAGTCGTTTCCGAATTTTTCTCAGCATAGTTCAGAAAATATTGAGCTTCCGCTTCACTGGCCTCTTTTGTGTCACAACGAGTCAATAGCATCAATGAATTTTGAGTGATCGGATAATGCCCCACTTAAAACCAAGTCCCATCATTTAGATCTGATGATCGCCGCTTGATTTTCATTTGAAACAGTTGTATCTCTGCGGTAAGTTAAACACAAGTAGAAGACGGACAGTGGCCTTTGGAAACATTTCATAATGGTCTTTCAGTACCAAACAGCCAGTAACATATGGAACGTGTTCATACGGGTGCCTCTGCAAACAAACTGACATATTAGTTGAATTGTCGCGTCGATAACTCATAGCAGGTCCGTTTTGTAGTTTTCCAGTTCCTTTATGTCAGGAAGGACGGTTCCATCATATTCCATTCTTGAAATGCGGTGTCGCTAATGGAAGCTACTTTGAGTTCCGATGTGTTGCCTGGTAAAAACGATGTTTGTGAACAACTGGTAAAGCATGTGATGCTCCTCTCTCGAGATAGCTGTGTACAACATGTACACGGTATACAGATGATGATGTTACAAGTGCGCCTATTTTCTTTGTCTACTGATAGGCTTTTTTTCATTACCTATTCGAAAGGGTGTCAGTTATTGACCAAAACACTGAATGGCCGGTGCCGTTGCGAATCCTTCACAATCCAAACTCTTTTCTTGCTTAATCTTCTTGTGGTCTTATTTACAACTTTGAAAATATGTGCAATCACTTCCGCTGATAGGTTTTGGATGTTGCAGTGATTAGTCACTCAAGTAGGAATGGCAAAATAACTAAGGCTTTAAGGGTCGTGACGTGTGAAGTACACAAATAACAATCACGTCATTGCTCAGCGATGGAGACAAACGGGTGCATCCACAACAGCCGCTACTTTTCGCTCAAAGCTGCTCGCGGACAAGTACCTGAATACCGCACTTTTCCGTTTGAATGCAGTGAGTGGGGTGCGAACGAATGAGCAACTGTGTGACTCAGGATTGTTGTCACAGTTTGGACGTTTTACGGAGCTTTATAATTAAACTTGTTTGAAGTGTTGCCGAATGGACCGTCGTCAGCTTGCTGGCATTATTATTCATATCTAAAATAGTATCGTTGTGCGAATCATCACTGTGATCGCTGTTCGTGCGCCGGCTTGATGGTTCATCTTTGGAATAGATCAAGGCTTGTTTAGTTGTATTTTTACCATATTTGCTAAGCCCTCGCTGAATGAGTGAATGTGTATGGTGAAGAGCTTCGCAAGCGCTCCACGAAGAGCGCCAACGACCGACAAACTTGTACAGTTGAAGTAAACGGTAGCTATGGCGGGAGGATTTGGTACTTGGGCGAGTACATGAAAGTGCTTTGATGGGTGACAGATGAGGACTGAAATACGTCGGAAAGAGTTCGTCCTGTGGAACTGGAAAAAAGCACCAAGTTCTTGCCCACTGAAAAGAGTGAAAGCTTGATGGTAACAGAGCAAGTCACTATAAATTTGATATGAGGAAAAAAGACAACGTCTTGACTGTCGGGGACATTGAAGTTGCAAGATCGCTCGGCTGACCAAGATAGTTTGAGGCTGCATATTTGCACCAGATGCTCAATTTGTTATCAGCTTGTTTGCACTAGATGACAATCAGCGGTGAACTTATCCATTCGGTGCAAGAAGAAATGAAAGAATATTAGCAACCTGGGGTATGCCGCTGTTAGTCGCTAATGGAGAACAGAAGCGGCCGTTGACGCCTGTGAACCGTGTGCCATTTAGGCAATAGTCTTCAATTTGTTTGACAATGTTCTGGTCATCCACTTCAGTGAAAATGTGCATTGACGCAGCGGTACGATGATGATTGTGCAGCAATGTGAAGCTGAAGTAATTGTCTTCCGCGAATACAGCCCAAAGCTTTGGTGCAATCAATGAACAACAGGCTTTTTACCTAATCGTGGAGTGATGAAGTGCACCACGTATGCAACGACATCTGTTGTGGAGTGAAGCGGACATGGAAACTTTGACGAGTCTTAGTTCAACAGGTTACATTTCACTCAGACGGAGATTCAAGCGATTCTGTTGTTCCGATTTCCATACCAGTGTTATCCACCTGTCAAGGCTCGGAACTTTTTCCAACGTAAGGTCAGTTAGTGAATAGAATAGATGTTGGCTCTCTGAGGATTCAAACCCCTCTAACGGCAAGGGCGATGGATGATGCCAGTCACAGGCGTCACTTCCTATGCACTTCTCTTTTTGTTGCGTTTTTTGTGGCACCAAATCGATTGATGCTTATAAATGCAAATAATAGATTTTACGGGCTTGTAGGTTGCCGCCTCAGTTTATCGAGTTCTGAAGGAAGAACCCAACTCCGATCTTTGTCATGCAGCTGCTTCAGGGATCGGTACATTTTAGGGGAGCTTTTATTGCCGTTACCCGCATGGCGAAACATCTTGTGTAGGTCGTTGGCTTTAATTTTAGTTGCTTGCGTAGGCTCAGGCCACTGTACGTCTTCATTTTCCATAAGTGTACTTCTTTGCCTTCAGTAGGTGCTTAGGCTGTTGAGATGTAGACTTGTCATCGCTGATGCTGATGTTCTCAACAGGGGAAGACAACTCGAAGTGACAGTTTAGTTATCTACTGAAGCGTCGGCAGCGTGCTGAATGGTGGGAGTCACAATTTCCATATCATAAAAATCTGTGAGAGAAACCATCTTCCCCAGTCGGTGAAGATGATTACCAGCATGTTTAGTTCAGTTCTCCTTGAAGTATAGTTTCGATAGAAGGCCCAAAACGCAGTTATCAAAGGCAACAATTTAAGCACGCTTGTGAGGAGCAGAAATGTTGATATTGCTTACCACCGTAGTCCAGTCGAGTATGCATTCGTGTGAATAATTTATAATTTGGTAAGGCCCGAAAAAGTTGAGTAAAATCAGTCAGGCCCCGTATAGTTCCCAGGCAACTACATCAAAGCACTGATCTAAGTAAATCATACTGCTGGTGTTTAATCCCCTCCTATGGGATTGCTAGCCAATGTCATCTATTTAAAATGGCCGAAAATCTTTGTAGCCAGTGCAACATTAGCTTTTTACTTTCGAAGAACCAATTCCATTCGATTGTTGCCGGGACGCAACTACATATCCACACACATGTCCTTGTTACAAAGTATTAGTGCCAAAAATGACATCGTTCCCTCCTAGGGAAGAGTTGGCACTGACCATCAGTCCAATGCTACGGATCACTGGACAGGGGCAAAGTGGTCTCTTCAAAGGGGATATCTCTGTTTGGGGTGAACAAATTGGGGAAATATTTTATTTCCCATTGTGACCTTCCGTCCGTCCCGTGAGCTGAGCGGTTTAGTAGCGAACGCACCACTACTAGGTAGACCGACGTCATCTATACACTATGCCGGCGTCCCTCCCAACATCAATTGTATGATTATCATCCATATGGACCTGAACTTCGAGCGTAAATGTGACAAAGATGTTTGGGTGCGGTAAGGCTTCAAATATTTCTCGGCTTTCGTCACTGAAGCCGGGACCTCAACTCTGTTTTGGTGAGCTTTGACACTAAGATTGGCCAAGTTTTGATCTAATACAGAAAGAATCGCGATGATCAAGACGAAATCCCACATGTTTCTGTACGCCTATTTCTAACTTACATCTGAATGGTCGCCAAAAGTAAGACGAATGAGAGATCAACGCTGAAGAACCTTCGTAACGAACTAAATGCCATAGGTAAAGATAGACAGCCAGCTTCTGTTCACGTGGCATATATTCGCCTTGGGCCGCGCACACGAAATTTTTTCGGAAATGTTTTTTCCATAACAGATATACCACTACCCCTGTTGGGAACGACGTACAAGCAGTGCATGTTGAGTTCAATATAACAATCAGATGAATAAAAATGAGTGTAACTGACGAGTGACATCATGGTATGTGATCGTTAGCTCAGACGATGTAATGGGTGGACTGACGACGAGGGTTGAATAGGCCAAGCGTGAAACAGATACCTCCGGCCAGTCTTGATATGATTCCTCAAAGAACCAATTGGTAGTACCGTTGTGGGCACAGAATTCCGAAAACATAACAAGCGTATCTAAGAACAACCAGGAGCAAATGAATAAAGGAAGGCTATAGCGGAAAGACCAGGAGCCAAAACCTTGATTACAAATTTACCAAAGACCTGCATTTAGCCGCGAACGTTTTGTTGAGCAAATCTGTCATTCCAAATTTACCGATCACCTAGAATGAATTTTTTATTCTACTGAGTGGGATCATTGTAATCTCCATATTTGACTTGCAGCATGCGTGGAATTGGGGTAAAGCAAAACGGTATCACTTGAGTATTCGTCGTGTTATCATAATGCGATCCGGAACTCTCCAGATGGTAAAACTAACCGTACAGTCCTTCATCTGTCTATCTTCTCGTAATCCTATTGTTCCTCTCTGTTGCGCCGACAACCTTTAGTTCTAGGTGGACCGATCCCAGAAAACAATAGCTTCTCACAATAAAACACGGTTTAGTGAACTTTTTGCAAATGCTGATAGATTTGTCATGCTTCGGATGTGCACTCAAAACAAAATCGTTGATGTTGTTTACTATGCAGAAGTGGTCCTGCCCCACACACGTTGACAGTCAGTTGAATTTTTCAGTGTTTTTGTATAGTGAAATCTTAAACATTGGTTTCAGACTGGCTGAAGAAAGTCAGTTTAATCGTACTGGAAATCCAACTGCCTTCTTTACGTTACCGGAACATGAAATCGGAGGATTATTAGAGGCGCATTGTTTATTGACATAGATATCGTATGGAAGGTATGTCAGCATTTTGTGGATCCCTCTAGCAGTCCTGAGGACAGTGTAGGTTTTCATTTTGACTTGGAAAACAACGATGTGTGTAGGGAGATGATCCTTCTCCGTTATTTACGTGAGCCTGACAACCACACATTCTGATGACCGGCCAGTTTTTAATGTCAGTTGCTATTTGCTTGAGGAAGGTGAACATAGATCAGTCGGGGACGTTAATAGTAGTGTCCACTTCTTTAATCTTTTCAGATGACACAAGTAGTTCTGATTTCCTCTTTCCGTTAACTTGAAGTTGATTCATTGCACAAGCTCCATCTCTTCACTCACGCCTCTTGTTGATGAAAATTGAAGTACCCTCATAACAAACCACCGTTTTCCTGCCGACAGACCGACAAAAACGCTAGTAATTGAGGTCCCTAATTTACGCCACATTAACACGTAAATGCAGTGATGCATTAAAAATGAGCATTTGCTGTTGGGCTGGACAAGACTGACTGTGACCATGTGACTGCCGTTTCGTCTACACCTTTTGTGGATGAACTGGATAACAACTATGGAATACTCCAATAGCCAAGGTCTTCAATCTGTGTACTGAAAAGCGAGGTCGTGTGCATAATCTCATGAACTGTAACTGGCACACTGTGGCACTTCCTGTTGAAACTCGGCTGAGCGACTGGATCAGGTGGTGGCATCATGCGATCCTGACAGACCTAAGGAAAATTCATCAGTTCGCTTACTTCTTCGGTTAGATGGTCGGGGGAGGGAAGCACAATCGATGAGTCAGCAGGTGTCGAAAAAACCGATGCATTCTCAACTTCGGGTAAACTCATGTGACAAAAACTGTGGAGGAGGACCTTGCACCAGCGAAAATCACATCTAACAAGAAGGTTCATCTGATATACAGTGATTGTTCATGAGGTGCGGTTTTGACAGCCGATTTCCGATCAGTGACGACTGTATCAATAACGCTGAGTGCATAATTTACAAGTTTTCGTTGATATTCAGCTGACCTTTTATGGATCTGTTAACATAGTCCCCTCAGACTCATTCACGGTGCTCAGTTTTGACGGTTGAAAGTTTTTCCATTTATTCATACGAGAAACCAATTGAAATATTCACGGGAAAAGTCTTGTGACTTGGGTGTTGTGGTACTGTCAGCCAGTCCAAAAGTGTTCCTTGCCTGGTACGCATATTTCTGAAGTTTGTGAGGGCCTCAGGCACCCTTCTGCATTTACTGAACTCCTACCCAGTGGTTAGTGTTGCATCAAGTGTTTGTCGTAGAGACACAGGGAAGAGCAACCAGATAGTACCCAGGAGTCAAATTATTAGGAATTACGGCAGTGAAGCATCGGTGTTGAACACTGATGTCATACTGTCAATGATGACGATGATGATGATTCGAAACTGATAAAAACGAGTTTCATAGTTTGGGCTACAAAGTAATCAGCTCAACATTGGGCGCCATACTGCAAGCAAACTGTCAACTGAACACGCTGAATCGTATCCGTGGCTTTGATGTGGGGTGTGACAGTAGCTTGCGGAAACCAGGTAAGTATCGCTTCACTTCTAATTACGATATTATACTACAATCTGGAAATGATTACAAGTGTCGCTTGGTGTGGCCATTTAAGCATTCAAAAAATCCGCAGTTGTCGCTGTGCTGACCAGATAAATCAAACATCGTTCTCGTTAGCTACAGGTTAGAATGCTTCGACAAATAGCATTAATTTGGTGCTCCACAAACCTTTAACTCGCTTCCCGCAAGGTCAAAAGAAGATACTGAAATATTCATAGTGAAATGAACACGTCAGAATTCATAACTGAAATCTGCATGCATTACTATCAAACTGATTAAATGATTAAATGGTTCGGCTGCCTTCGCTTAGTTATTAGGACATCCAACACGAACGCGGTTCGAGTATTTACCACCCAACACCGTGGTTTGTTGCATGGCCTGCGATTCCTAGTTGTCTTCGTATACGTTTTGACCAGTTTTTATTCCGGAACAGGTTAGAAAAGACGGCATGCGATTTGTCCTCTCAGTGTCCGGAGCAATCACCACAAACCATCATTTTGTTGTTGCTACTCTTCCCTTTCCCTCCTACACTCACACTGTTTCCGGGCTCTCTGGTGACTGCTCAAAGTGAGGTTGGGGCTAGAGACCGACGATCAAGCTGACTGAGTTGACATAAGAGGGGTAAACTAACCGGGTCACTTCGTTCTTGTACTTCTGTTTCTATTCTATGGGAAATTGATATGTTGACATAGCTAGACTAACTATCTCACGTGCGTCAACCAAAACCGGGAGGAGATATTCGTGTGCGTTTCTTGTTAAGATCTGCCACAGACCCACGTGTACTCTCGGCCCTTTTGGTGTACGTGTGGAGTAATTAATATTTCAGATGATATCAGGTAAAGCGATACTCAGAATTATCGAACAGGAGATTGTGCATAAAATCTCTGTTAGTGGGTGAATACGGGATTGTTGGTTGGCTTCGTGCAACATCTTGAGCACTCTAAACCGCACCGCACTCTCTTGAACCAGCCATCGCAGGATCAGCTGGCGCCCATCCCCAAACATTTCAGTATGCTCAGTCCCAGTAATCCACCATCATTCAATATCAGAGGTTACTTGGGGAGTGTTGATTTCTCATGATACCAGCATCCCAACTGAGCAGCGATCAAAAAGTCTTAGTTAAATTTCCAAGGACTGCGTATTCAAACACGCACGGGATGGTGGCACTGTCCTAGTAAGTATTATTATCCGGCTTCTGGGAGCATAGGGCTAGCTGGGCTCAACAAGCTTACCGAAAACATCATATGTTAAATCCCCAAAATACACCGTTTTAGTCGGTACTCGCAGTTTTTTGTATGAGTATTGTTGGCCTCGGTAACAGCGGTATGCACTGTAAACTCAGGTGAAGTAGAGACATGAGGTTTCAGCAACGCGAAAACGCCCTAGAAAATGGTCAGTGACGGGTTAATTTGTCACATTGTTAGTGTAATTGATTTCATTGTTGACATCGATCGTGTACTACTGGGAGAGCTATAAGACAAGATGTGGATTTTGGAAGCCTTTGAATTAGACATGAAAAAAGTAAGTGTACAAACCGACTGATCCGAGGGGAATAATTGCCTTTGAAAGACACCAAACCGGGGTTAGACCTGGTGTCCAGTGGTCTGTAGTTCGAAATAAGTGTAGTCCCGAAGTTTTTGTCAAATTACTGTTGCGTTATTTTTCCTTCTGCGTTTTTCTTGCTCAGATCAACCGCTCCCTTATGGACATTCTGAATTTCTGCATTCACGTTGAAGTTGTCCAGCTTCGATTAGAAACATCATTATCATCATCGATAGCATGACATTAGTGTTCAACACCGATGCTCCACTGCCGTACAACCATGATTTACTTGAAAACCTTATTGTAAATAAAAGAATAAAGGTGGATAGGGAATGGACTTAGTGCTAGCTTACCACGATCATTTCGAGGTGCATACACCTCCAGACATTCACAAAATTAGAAACATCGTAACGCGGCTAAAACCGATCACCTGTTGGAAGTGTAACCAAAAAATAACTCATACTCTGTCATTTTTAAGCTCGTAAGCTGTACAGTGATTGGAACATGTTCAGATTGGGGTTGTTGAAAGCAGGAGACAACCTGGCCTGAGTCACCTCTAGGTGGTTCCTTCATTGCACTGGAGTAATCAGTTGAGGTGAACGGCTTTCGGAGCGCGAGGTACTGGTTTAAACTTCCGCGTCTCTGTAACGTAGCCTAGATGTGCATCCACAGCAGTTCGAAAGTGGTGACCAAAGAAGAGATATTCCAGAAGTTCACGGACCTCGAGGAGATGTAGAATGAATCATGTAGAATCATGAATCGCGTAGAATCATGCTGCAACTATAGCACATCCAGTGCTGTTTGATGTCAACTGTTTATGTTAAGACAAAAGCGACTTCAGTGGTTTTATTGGTCAGCATCTTTTCTTGAGAAGCCAAAAGAGATCAACCAACGCGACTCCTGTGAAACGTCTTTTCAGAATGATACTCAGGTGGTTCTATTCACTACTAGATAGCGATTTGGAATAGAGTCCTAGGACTTCGGTGCACGGTAGCATAGGGATAAGCAACAAAAGCAATAAAATAAGACCAACGGCATATTTAATTGGTTTCTTTGCAAATGCCAAGTGAAAAGTATAAAGCGCTTGATGGCCTCCTGGGATGTTGAACAAATTCAAAGGTATTCCTCCAGACTCTGTTCGCCAACTTCTGTGAATCACCTGGTCATTATGAGGAAAGGCTTGATATAAAGGAATTGAAAGATGAATGCGCGGTTTCAAAATGCTGTAAATGGTCCTGGTATTGGTCACATGACATCCGAGGCATCTTTTCTTGTTGACTTTCAGCACCTGACTTTGGTAGTACTAACTTCTTCACTAACTCCATGGAAAAGAGGGTCGTACCATTTTGCCATAGCTATACGGTCTTTTTTACGTACTATCACAGTTTAAGCTCATTGGACTGGTACGGGTACCATGTAAACAAGTTGTAACTGAATATATCATTATTGACACACTATGCTGACTGAGTAGTGAGTCTACAAGGAATGGTGAGTTCAATCAACCTGGGTTTGAAAGTATCCTCGCAGCTGGAATAAAGACTCATCAATTGGCTGAATAGGCATTCACACTGCCTTCCAGATTCGGTAACATTGACGCGGATCCTGGTCTGCTGCTACACAGAATTTGAAGATGTCACTTCCATCGAAAACCTTGATTCTAATACCTCGAATGCTGAAGTGAAATCATGATGTGGTGACATTTTCATTACAGGCATGTTCAACACACGAGGAGTTTTACGTCGAGGCTCTTATGTATTTGGAGTGAGGTCGTGTTCGTTGGTTAGACCCGAGACAATTTGTGGACAGCAGTTTTTAACTGATTTAAGCGATGCGCCGTTTGAGTCCAGACGTCACTCGCTCAGGTGGACCCGAATTCGAAGTGTTGGTCACTTCAAATGAACTGTACTTACAAAAAGCAAGAACAAGAAGGCGGGATTTTTGACAAACTCGAACCATCGACTTCCCATTGACTGGAAATTTTTCTACCAAAAGAGTTGCCATTATCACTTTCCCTGTCATAATGTTAAATTGGAACTCAACACGTGATTCACCACACTTGTGTTTAGTTGATTTAAATTTGATGTCAATCCGTGCCAGCAGTGAGTCCATTACATAATTCTCATGATAATGGAGTTCTGAACTCATTGAAAAAGTGTTCTGATGGGAAAAAGTTCCAACCAGTGAGTTCTTATATTCAGTTTCAAGTTGTTATTGCACTGTCGGTGTAAGTGGCCATTTCGCCAAGTATTGTTAGGAACAAACCCATAGACACCAACTTGCTCTACTTCCACAGACGAGGTCCAATCAGGTTAAGCACAAACCTTTGGTGGATGCAGACTGTAGGGTAGCCTACAGTAGACCTATGATGTAACCCCTGACTCGTACTACTAAAAGCAAAGTACAATCAATGGTCGAGATGGTAAGTTTTTTCTGTTGAAAGATGGGTGGCCAATAAACTACAAAGCGAAATTGCAGATGATTGACACCAACTTAAACCAATATAATAGGAAACGTTTCGGTTTCCTGTAACTGTCAACCCTCCTGACGTGGGACGCATATGAAAGCACTAAAGCATGTGGCGCGTTAACTGCTAAAATGTACTGACCAGCATTATCTGGCAGCCGATTTCGCATTGGAATTCAGACACGTAATCCATATAGCTCTTAGATTGAGTGTGATTCTCGTATCACATATTTCATGACTAGTCGAATCCATCGGAGTCCTCGGACGCCTGAATAGTCAAACCGGGAAAGGGATTGCTCGATTTGTTTGAAAAGCACAGATTTTATGGGAATTCAAGTTCCGTCCGTTTGCAGATAAGATAGAACATAATCTCTTCGTTTGTCACACAAAAATACCAACAATGGTATCCATACAGCTGGGAATAACATCCCATCACCCGCGAATTAGTCGTTGACCGCAATTTTTGATAGTTCGTTGATTTCCTTTTACATACATTTAGGTTTCCAACTATAAAAATCCCTTTGAAGTTGACGACCTAAGGCTTGAACCTTGTTGATGTGGTTGGACTTCGGTGTTGTAACCATCTTGCAGGCTAATTAGCTGGAGCACGATTCGGACCATGGGAAAGCAGACGTAGTACGAGGGGATCTGAGAGTAAATTCATACTGTTGGGTGCGACAGAACTGTGAATGTTTCTCCAGCGCGATCAGAATCTCTTTAGGTGGATCTCCCTGAGGAAGAACGGGTAAGTGAAGCGCAACCCTGAAAACTGAACAAAATCTCCTAAGAAACACAGAGCCCTATTGTTTTTACAAGGTATCTACTGCTCAGTAACACTAGATGTAGGACTCCCACGCTATACTTCCTCCAATTTCGCGTTAAATTACACCCCCTGTCCGCAAGTTTGGAAACCGAAGGTTAGGAATAGACACCCGAAAGTAAATCCCACTTTCCAGTATTAAAAATGAAGAGGCTTTGGTTTTCGATAACGGAGACTACTACTGCGACTTGGGATGTGGAACGTTAGGGAGTTGCTGAACAAAGTGAATGCATAGACCTGGAAACCAGACGCTATGAGAGACCTCGCTGGACTCAGTAGTGACTGACAGACTAGCCACGATATGCTAGATCAGATCACATTTTTTACTGGAGTGTGACTACAAGAAAACGTTGACGTGGAAACACATGTACAGGTCACACAAAAAGATTAACACTGGATGAACTAGAGTGCGTTAAGTCGAAGCCAATGGCCAGCCAATTTATGTTTAAAGCAGCCCATAATGCTACTTTTGGGCGAGCTAGTAAACGAATTCTACGGCCAGTTGATGAACTGGACAGAATCGCGTCCTCGAGTGACTATCTGTTGCTGTTGAGTGATTTCCATGCCCGGACAGGCAAGCACGAGGAATCCTGAAAGATGGCGGGACCGTTTGGAATAGGATCGGACGGTGAAAGACTGATAACGACAAGTGCCGTTTTAGAAGTTTCAACGAAAACCTCGTTAATTAATATAAGGTGGACACAATTTGTTCTTTGGACTCAACCACGGATAATTGGTAGACCAGATCATTGTGTGACAGCTATAGATCGGCAGATGGTGACAAGAATGTTCACAGCTGGACTCCTCGAATATTCTCGTCTGGGTCTGAGCAATGTGGCTCTATTTCAGCCAGAGACCAAGGCACCAATAGTGCGTGGTAGACAGATTTGGCTGCAATACGGATCGAACCCTGATGTGTACCGAACTGTGTTGACCTGCAAAACAAATTGATTGTGTATCAGGAGTAAAATCAAACCAAATGCAAGAAAATTGAAAAATAAGACAATCGTACTGAACTGGTACGAAGCCTTCGTATGGAGCCGCGCATGCGAAAGTTAGCGAGGGCAGAATGCGGACACACCAAAACAAAGTCAGTGTGCATAAATGGACTGGAGCGAGAACGGAGGAGAGATTGGTTTGGTGAGTGGCCCACCTAGATTTGTCATCCAGTAAAATAGCAAAATTTGGCAGATGTAAAAACTTGAAGGCAGCTTGGCATCACCAGGGTCATGCTTCCGACTTACTTTACTCAAACATATAGTTGTGGACTAAACGAAGCTGAGCGTTTCCCTGGCCTCGCTGATGAAACGGATTAAAGGAATTCAAGACTTCGAAATGGTAAATTCTGGTCTGCTTTTAAAGACAGTCTAATGAGCGTACTCTGGGAAATTGCAAAGCCCGATCGACGAAACTGTGCACGCGCATGTCACGTAAGTTCCTAAGGTCCTAGCTGCGCTAGAGAGACAGTGTTCCTTCCGGATTGATTTACAGTATTGGGAAACGTTTCGAAGCTTTCCAAGTCCGTACAGAGATCCAATGTCGAAGCCTCTTCACTAACCCCTTACACACTCTAGCTTACAAGTTACCGTTTTAAAACTGCGGAAGGTTGAAGAAGGGTGACCTCTAGCAATCCTAAGTTCTGGCCGAAAATACGTTGTTTTGCAATACGAAGTGCGGAAGTGGATCTCGATCGGGTTAGCGAGCGGTCTTACGTCAGACTGCGCTTGAATTCACAAGCATGTTTTTTTAAAATCCGGTTTTCCGTCCGTTCACTTGGTCCACGGACATTGCAAGTAGATGGGTCAAGGAATCAAACATGACGGCTAGTGTCCGAATTTCTTTGTCACACGTTAGTGGATAGAACAAAACAGCCCAATACGCTGAAGCCTTGGTATCTATCCGGAGTGGAGGGTTGACCTGGACGTAATTCTCAAAATAGCCAAACGCCACACTGCCTTTCGCGCGTTTGCTTCGTCGTCAATTATTAGGACGGTGCGACCGGGGCAGCGGAAAACTACGCACCACGCTGTCTCAGCTCATTAGCTGAATATCTCATGTTTTGTGTCGATTAAAAACTCAGGTTGACGGAAGGTAAAGGGTTTGGAAATATTTATGTACATACCAAATACGAGGTGCAGACGAATCCTTGACGCTAGTCAGCGGCTTAAATTCCGCTTCAGAATGCGGAAATAAGGCTAAATCTCCCAAAAACATGAGCGTACCAGACCCATGCAGCAGCTCTCTCGTCGAAAAATACTTTCAACTGGATAGATGGCCATCCAGTTCCACTTGAGTGGGGTCACACCTGACTTTCATCTGAGGATGAAACTTTTTAGTCAGGTTAATAAATGCATCTGGACAGACAAGTTTTCGTACGGCGATCTACAGTGCCACCTTAATGGATTAGTCGAAGTCTCCACAGGAGCAGTCCTTGGGGCTGTTGAGTCGGTCCACAACACGTTTGTCCATATGAAGATCAGACCCATCGTACTTCGGATGCCCGAAATACCCACCACCCTTCAAGACCGTTTCCTCATATATTGCAAGCATCCGATCAAGGATCAGGATGCGAGCCAAAATCCAGACTGCGTTGCACAGAAGACCAACTCTGTAGTAGCCGTCCATCGTCTTACTTTTTCTGTATTATGGATTATCGCCGCGTCCCCGAAATCTCACTGAACGCCTCTCATATCACAGATGATATACAACGGTCTACCCATTCCCTACACAGGCCGTCTTGCTCCCCAAGGTCTCAGCTGCCCTAAGGGAGCACTATTCATGTGAACCCGTTATCGCAGGTCCTCAATGAACACAGCGGCAGATAAGTACTTGAAGTCCGTCTCCTCGCCGGTTAAGTGGTGTTGATTTTCCTCAGGATTGTTTAACTTTTCGCTCATTTGGTTCATGTATTTACTTCAGTCGAAAGTTAAACTCGTCGTGGCATCCACCGGCGGATACGGCTGATATTATTGAAACGATCGCATGCGAACACCGTCATGTATTTTCAAACATTGTACATAGAATAACAGCCAACCTAGACCACACTTTTGGGTCGCGCAACTAAGGATGCGTCAGTCTAGCTTAGTTCTGAAAGTTCAAGCTACACAATTACGAGGTATTGATCATTCCGCGGCCGTTATCATGTCAGTTCACCTGCGATCGTGGTGATACTTACTTAAACTGTCTTCCTCAAAGAATAACAACCTATGCCAGAATGTCTGATATGCTCCATGAGGCAATTGGCCAGTTGTCAGTCTACAACAGGGAACCCAGCGTCGCCGGTTGCAAGACAACAGACAATCTGCTGATCTGTTTTGTGACAGAACACGTCGGATGCGAGAACTCGACAATACAGCGTTAAGGTGAGACAGCCAGCACCAAACCAGAGCATACCTACCCTCGCACTAGTCTCGAACTGCTCCTGAATAAAGCCACTTGGTCACCATGAATTTTAAGTGGACAACTTATAAATGTGATAGAAATGTTAACGACTCGTCAATTATGTCTCTTCACGTTTCTGATGAAATGGAATCAGGTGTTCGACCTGCCTGATAACACCAGTAGCGTAAAAATAGGGGTTTGACTACAACACGCGTATGTACATCTATTTACATAAATCCTTGAATGAAGAGAACGAAAAAGAGAAAGGGACTCAATGCTACCCCAGCGCAAATACCCGAGGTACCAGCACAACTCGTTTCGCCAATTTGAACAGAAATTGAGGGCCGTGGACATCGGTTACAGGTTAGATCTTAGAACGTCTGCAGCTAAGCAAAGCGAAATTGAAGGCGGACAGCATCAAGATCATCATCCTGATCCCCTTCTGCCAAATAATAAATTGTCCACCTCTGGAGTAGTCTCTGAAATATTGTGAACTTTTGGATGACACTATCAATAACTATACGGTTAACGGAATACCAGGCTGGCCGTCCACAGGAGCATTGGTGCCGTATCATAAAACGTGAACCAGTTGATGGGAGCTTCCAGGACCAGTGCCCACCGTCGATGTTTATCATTGGTCAGAACTGTGCATAAAGCCTTGCTCAATATAAAAGTCATATAAGTTTTCTTGCCCCCTTCTGTCCTCCCCTAAAAACGGTCTCACAGCAACTGCACATTCCAACCTGGAGCAATCACCATATCAAAACGAGCTGCTGTGTGCATCAAGCACATAGTTCGAAACAAAGACGAGATTTCTTGAGTCGCAGAGTGGTCTGTGAAGTAAAAAGGAGTGCATAGCTGCTTCATTCTTGCAGGCAACAACACTGTTTCGAAGCTACTTTGTGGAAGTATTAACCGCAACCCTCAGATTGGTTTGCTAGCAAGCGTGGCTAGTTTGCAAGGGGGCTGAAATTTACCACAGGGATGGTACATCCGCTCCTCAAGTTACCTAATCTGAATATACAACCCAGGTAGGTAAAGATCAAAAGTACTTTCTAGATATAGATCCACATCTAGGAAGGGAATTGTATGAAACGCCCACAGAATCAACACTAGCCGGACCTCCAGATAACCTGGAGCGCCCATAATCTCGGAACTGTCAACCAAGCGTAGGGAAGCCCGTCAATAGCAAGTCATTTGTTGATTTTACATGAGAACTGACAATATGAACACTGTACAAACAAAAATTTGTCGATTCGACTGATTACTTAAATGGTCAGTGAAGCTCGACAATCAATTAGAGCAATCGCATGTATGTGAGGAAAACACAGGAAAGAGAAGAGGACAGAATATCGAGGGAGAGGCAAGAAGTGTTCAACAAGCCGACGATCATGGTCAGCGTAAAAAGGGAAAGGATAATGAAAACGATACAAAAACCCAAATGCGTATACAAAAGAACCCGAACTGCAAAGAACTCCAAAATAAGGTAGAGCCGAGAGAAATCAAACAAGGTTCTATATATGTGGAGGGGGTATCCAAAGAACATCATCTTATTTCAATACTTGTGAGACGGGTCTACAAAACGGATTGAGGTTAACACGCTATATGGGTAGAAGGGAGCAATTGCACTGATCTGCCCAAATCTTACTGCACAAACTTGCATATTGCGGAAGCGTGGGATGAATAGGAAGAATAAAAAACCGTGAATACTGATTCAGCCCAGTAGGGTGGGTTACCGGAAGAGTAATTGGACAGGCAGAGTGAGATGGTTGTGTACGCACATGGGTGGTGGAATCCTCGGTGTGAGCTGCAATTACAGGCTGTTATTAATTAGGCATGCTAGCCAACGTAAGTAATCAAGTAGCCTTAAAAAATAGACCGAGAATCAAACAGATAGGCCATGAGAGACAAGTGAATAGTGTTTGGGTTGATGACGGTAGTCGAGGTTAGCGGGGGATTGCCAGGGCGCAGCTAAATTCAACAATCATGCAAAATCCAATAGGCAAAAAATACTGAAGTCTAGTGTCATGGAGCGGCATGGGTCATCCAAAATGATCCAGACTAGAAAAAAATTGCAACACCATGAAGGAAGCATGAAGCGCAAGATTGAAAGGCGCTCAAGAGACGAATCTGCTAACAAAACAGGAAGGACAGGAATACTTCCAATGCACGCAATCACACAATGGAAGCCACAGGGGATGACGAAGTTGCGGGGTTGGTATCACGGGGTGAACTGGGAGTGCTTTTTTCTTCACCGGCCTGAAGGGCTGGTGAACCAGTGACGGGGCTAGAAGCTGCATCACCAAGAAGGCTTGCGCTTGCACCACTTGAGTCCAAACTCAAGTAGCCGGACTGGCGACGAAAGCTTTGCATCTGACTGATACCCAGCAAGAGTTGGGCGGCCTCCACGGTAGCGCGTTCACTAAAGGTAGGCAGAGATGAAATCCAAAGAAAGTGATAAACAAACAATGCGCTAAAAATTGTCGAGAAAAAAAAAGAATTTGTACCACTTTCATGTCGACAGCTTGCATAGATGCTGTAACTTAAGGAGTCGGGAAAAGCTATACACACGCTCCAAATATTTCATCCAAATCATTTTCTTTGACTTCCTCTTATCCTATGAACTTTTAAATCGGCCTGTATGATGTGAAAGCAACTACTGTCCACATAAGTTTTGGGTATCATCGTCCTTTATTGCAGACAACACTAACTGTCGCCATTAGCAGTGATGTTCTGGACTTATCAACAGCAGTTTGACACTACTGCTGGTCTGTTTATCTATGACAATAACCAAACACTTAGTCGATTCAGATCGCTCAGATATATCGCAGATATACCGATCGACAGCTTGCATAGATGGTGTAACTTAAGGAGTCGGGAAAAGCTATACACACGCTCCAAATATTTCATCCAAATCATTTTCTTTGACTTCCTCTTATCCTATGAACTTTTAAATCGGCCTGTATGATGTGAAAGCAACTACTGTCCACATAAGTTTTGGGTATCATCGTCCTTTATTGCAGACAACACTAACTGTCGCCATTAGCAGTGATGTTCTGGACTTATCAACAGCAGTTTGACACTACTGCTGGTCTGTTTATCTATGACAATAACCAAACACTTAGTCGATTCAGATCGCTCAGATATATCGCAGATATACCGAATGAGTTCCTTCGTCCCACAATAGCAGATAACTCAAAGCAACTCCACCCAGTCGCTTGAGCACACCACACAACCACGAAGCGATTTAGCATGCTTTCGAACTTCAGTCCATTACATAAAGCAAAATCAACAAAAACAATCATCAACTGAGCAGATTCTACGTGGTCCAAGGTAAACATTCTTGTTCAAAACGATACTAGTGTTGGTCACTGTCAGCTCACAAATAGTACTCAAGTTCTGCAGCGGTCCTAACTGTTAGGTGAGATCCAGAAACGTGAGTGAAAGCCAGAACTTCAAGCGGGTGACAGCAGTGGGGGACTGTGCATTTCTGGCGGTGCGAGGAGCCAAACGGAGTCGGTCTTTATCTTTGAAGTGGTTAAATTCTACCTCAATTACCTTACACCGGGAGACACGAACTGTCGATGCGGCTGGATATGGTGCACACGCTTCACTTCGTGTCGTGTTTGAACCTACCAAGCACATCAATGAACGGTGATGGACGTTGACATGTGAAAGAAACGAACGGGCTAATACAACACACGGGATGCAATCAGCTGCACCGGTACGTGAAAGTCACTTCTTCCGAAGAAAATGAGAGCTTAACTGAGCAACATTGGGTGAGAACTAGAAATGTTCTGGCGACAGTGATAAAAAATCGTTCATCTGTAGCATCCTTTTGGAGCCTAGCTGCCATGCCAACGGAAGGAGGCACTGCCAGACCGCCGTGGTGGAGACACAGGTTGGATTCGAACGACAGACCTTCCGGTCCAAAAACTGGCGTTGAACTATCTCCAGCGACACTGATAACCGAAAACTGGGGGAATTGATAACGGCTTTTGCCCTCAGAGACTAGCGACGCACTTTGTGATTATGAAAATAATTGTGATAATACTAGAAATGTACTAAAGCACTTGGATCAATCATCTATCCACAAAAAAGGGATGAGTCTCACCTCTTTGAAGGGGCTTTAGTGTCTTCAGTGGTTATCCCATCACAATCATCGACCTCCTGGTCCAATGCATCTGATTCCGATAATAATTCGTCAGAATCAGGATCTCCTTGCATTCCAATTGACCAAGCCATCGGGGAAAAATTGCCAACTAACCTCATCCTCGACTGACCCCATAGGGGACCAACGTTATGGGAATTTATGTCCCTGCCGTTAAGGGTATGACGAAAGTGGTCTGGACTCGGTGTCGTTCCTCCTTGTTTGGGGTAAAGATAGGTTGGTCGGTAAAGTAGAGGATGAGAGCCAGAATCGTCCGGTCGGGCAGGGGAGACCATTCGCTGACGTTTACATGCCAGTCTCAGGTAACGCGCCTCTTCATCCTCGCCATCACTGTTATCAGATCCATTGTACTCTTCGTAGTCGCTATCAGATCTGACAACGCGTCTATCATTGTAACGTCTGTTCCAACCCCGTTTCTGACCTCTTCGTCGCCCTCGACGATTAGACTTGCATAAATCATCAGATTCAAAGTACCTTATATTATTGAGGCGATTCCGTGACTCCAAACCTTCATAAGGTTCATAACCAGTTGGTTCTTTATTGCCACTCAACTCGGCAGAGTAGCTATCTGGATCACATCCCTCAAGAGATAGGGAATCTTCGCTATCGTCATAGGGGCGTCTTGGTATTTTGACGCCACGTCTAGAGCGGCGCACTGCATAACGGGTAGCCAACGAATCAATTGCGGACAAGAGTGGGCGCCGACCTCTACGTCTTCGCGATGTGGTTCGCAGAAACCGTCTGTTACCACGGCGAGGTAAAGCCAGGCGGGTTTCAGAGTAGATGCTCGGGACCCGTGGAGTGCCCCTTCGGCGTTTGTACCTTCCGCGCCGGCGGGTGTGTTCCTGTTGTTTGAGAACGTCATTTCCACCGGGGCTCTCATTGTTAGGAAATTCGTCACGCTCTCCATCACTAAAGTCATCAGGATCATGGAAGCTAGTATCGCTCTCCAGATAACCATAACGTGATCTACCGTGTTCACCCGTCAATTTGCTAACAGCCTTCGTCCTGAGTCCCATGTTCGAGCTGCGCCTAACATAAGAACGTGAGCGAGTAAGTCGCCTCATCATTTCGGCACAGTAATTTTCGTTGTATCGGTTGACCATACGATTATCATCAGGTGCGCGAAGCTGTGCTTGACAGTGGGAATATTCATGGTCGATGTGTGGAGCAGGAGTTACATAAACTTCCTCGGTTTCCACTGTTGAAACTGCTGTGGCAACAGTCGAATCGTCCGACTTCGGCGAATTTGCATTAATAGTGCTGGAAGTCTTTCGGCACGTTTTCCTTACAGAGGGGCCTCCAGCTGGACCTTGTTCTTGATCAGAGTCAAGGGCGTTGGCAACATCTTCCAAGGCGCGTTCCTGAAATGAGGCTTTCGAGAGTGGATCTAACAAAAAACGTAGACGCCTTTCTGAGCAGGCTTCGCAACCAACCGCCGCATTTTCTTTGCATTCATTGCAGGTTCCTACAATATGAAGAGAACAGAGATGCTTTAAACATGAAAATTAATTTTGACTAAAATTATAAGACAAGAAGGTGCCGGTGGTAGGATAACAAGCGCGTGCCACAAGAGAAAACATTCGGTCGGGAAAGTGTGATCCAGTCGCGCACACCTCCCGCAAGGTGGGTTTCCTGTAGCAGATTCTACTACATGCAGCTAGTGTGCAACCTGGCAACCAATGCAGTTTGCTTACTTTATACTGTATCATAACTGTCATCTTTAAATTCCAGGGGAAACAAAGGTCGACCCTCGGTCATTAAAATAACGTTGTACGTGAGTGGTGCATGCTGGGAAAACATAACTTCGCTGGGGACAAAGGGTGGGTCTGTTGGATTTCACTGTTAAGAAATGCCGGGTGCAGTATGAAGTCATGTACAAGGACTATTGACAAGAGGCATTGTAAGAGACATTGTAAGTATGCCCTAAGGCTTCACCAATTATTGTGCCAAGCGTCCAAAGATTCGATAGGAGGCAACATCTACTCTGGAAATCGAACTGCCGCTAGTTATGCGCAGTTTGAACACCTGTTTGGTAGCTCGCACTTTGCATAGTTTATATTCAAAACATCAAAAGTTTGCATAAAATGGAGTTTCCGATTAAATTCCTGTGAACACAATTAACAACGTCATCATCATCGCCACTAGCTACGAACCACATACATGTTATCCAGTGAATCTAGACACCACAATTCCATTCGCCGATATTCTGGGTAGTAGCTCAGCAGCCAACGCAGTAGCTGATAGCGTTAGCGGGTGAGTCCAAACATAAGGGCGAGCTTTTCACTGGCTAGGGAAAACTGCGAACTGAAACTAACGGCACCACTAAGCGCATGGGTTGGCCACGTCTGATAGTGACATGTCGAGGACCCAATGTCAAGGACCACATCCAGCGACGCAGCTGACTATGCTGGTATTGGCTTCCGTGGTTCGTTGCCAAGTAATGGCTTGACATCGCCTGGTTCGTTTCACCATCTGCATGGATGTGCAAAAACGTTTCTTAAGAGAATTCCAACTAATGACACATGAAACATGTGACCGAGCCAGGGTGACTTACGGAATGTGACCGACCTATTAAGAGTGTGGGAACTACTTCCTCCGAAAAACATTCGGTATCAGTGGTCCGATGTTTCCACAAGACAGGCAATGCTCCTCAGTGGCCAGGTTGCCGACTATAGAACAACGTGGAGCGCATATTATATTCTACCACTGACAGACAAGCTGATGTCACACGTACACCATCGGCAGTGCAAGTGGACAAACGCCCCTGGAACGGTTTCGTTCCGCGCTTTGCCAGACCATCGAAAATGACAGAGCTAACAAAGTAAACAGTTTCGTCTACTGCTCCATCGGCAGGCATGATCCTAACCAGTATTGCAGCAGTGTTCCACACGGCGCAGATGTGTATACGAAGCTGTGAAAATTGTTTTGGCCATATGAGACACCGTTTGTGTTTTGACAGCGTCGGGTTCGAGAACAGATGGGTTACGAGCACACCCTACATTCCAGAAGCATTTCAATCCAACAAGCCTGTCTAAGCTTGGGCAACCTGGTAGTATTCCATCCCTCGTGCCTACGAAAGGGTGCACAGCTGAAACGATTATCTATCCAGCAAGCACCAAGGAATGAGAATGGTGGTCAATTTGAACAGGCCCAGGCCTGCCATGGATGTCTACACGTCTACAGGGGTTAATGTACAACACAGTAAGGAGAATCAAGCACTTCAACTAGACACTGCCATAGTGCCCGACGAGTCAACAGAGTCACACGTAGTTCTAAGGTCAAGTGTGGTGGAAGCAGTTCCGCTGTCCTAAGGTCTGCCACAGAGTAAAGGTCTGTAACTTTCTGTGGGGCAAAACCTAGCTTAATCGTCCATTCCTCCTTGCGTTCAGTCAGTTTCCATATGGTTAGACCAGAAAGAACTCTGGGTATTACAGCTGCTAGGCTAATGCTGTGATATTTTCCACGGTGTGGACCTGTCTTTTGCGGAAAGAGGGTTTGGTCTACATTACGTGGACACATTTCCATCTACCCACAGGCACTAACAAGATCAGTCGGAGATTAGCAGGCCTTCCTATTTTCTTTAAGTGGGTTGGATACAGTCCGTCAGGGCCTGCTGTCTTCTTGCGTTTTATTTCTTTTGTTAAACAATTGGGGGGTTACGTCCCGCTCAGCTGTATGTACTGTCTCCAGCGCCTGTTCTACCAGGGAGCGGCTGATCTGCTTTTCAAAACGTTTGATTTATCTTTCCAGCAGGCGTGTATTCCAGTAATCACTTGCTGACACTTGTCTACCTCTGGCCAGGCGATTGACCTGGGTGAGATATCCAACTGTGAAGACTTTCCCCATCTCTTAGCCTTTGCTATCCACCGGAAGTCTGTTTTCCTTAGACTTCTTGCAGCAACTGTGTGCGCCATGCTCGGTCAGCTAGTCTAGGATTTTCAGATCTGATCGCCATCAGCATCACACCTTTTGCATTTTGACATACCGCAACCACTTGCCTATAACCAATATTGCATTGGTCCACCTCAGATAGTTGAGCCAGCTCAGGTGGATACAACTGGGTTACGATAGTCTTCCGAAGACAATGGACTGACATACCTCACGTCAACTTGGGAAGGCCTGAGGAAAAGTAACCCGTCACACGTGTACCTACTAGAGATTGGAAGGAACGGAGCTGCGCACCTCGAGAAGGACGACAATACTGAAACGTAAATCTCAAGATGGATGATCCGATTGGCCGCTAGGTCACACGATGTGAAACATCTGTTTAAAATTCGTACTGGCTAGAATAGATCGACGGTCGGTGAACATCCCGAGCCCTTCTTGCTGCAGCTTGGGTGAGCATCGAGTCTTAATCAACCACAAAGATGTAGTCCCGCGAGACTCAGTGAATCGACTTGGGCATTTATATCAAGGGTGTCAGCGCCGGTACTTTTACATGACAAATCAGTTCAGATTGATCTTAGAAAGGAAATTACTTTCTTGGCCTAAACTGCACAGAGCGTTGAGGCATAAGCTAACACTACACAAAGCTACTTGCATCGAGTCATTGAGCCTGAAAGAGATGGATAACCGAACACGGTGAACACGTTTGTTTACCGGAACCTAATGCGGCAAAGCACGTTCAGCTCGGAGGTTATGTTTTGTGTACCACGAGTCACTCACTCACGAACCCCGGACATTCGGAAAGTAAAATGAGAAAAAAGACTAAAGCCGATCAGGGTGCATTAAGGTGTAAAATCAAGTTTGAGTCGCGTGCACGTGTTCCGGAGACATTCTATATCAAATTTAAGAGAGGAGTCAATGTCTGTATGTCAACCTGACAGTACGGATGCTTTAAGATCGCTCGTGGAACCAATCTCATGAGGTAATCACTTTGGTTACGATTAGGCATATTGGTTGAACAGTTAACAATTAAATGATTCAAAGATGCTTGCTGGTAGAGTGTACGTTAAGTGAAGGTGGAGATCGGCGAACAAAGAGATGTGAGGGTGCCCAACCCGAGGTAAGGTGTTTAGTTGGGTCACCTCACTCTGAGTCATTGACCAAAAAGTGTGAACAACAACGCAGCGATCGATATGGATTTATAGAAGAACCAACCCAGATCAATTGACTCAACAGACTGACATGTTTGGTGCAGTCCAAAGAGGGAGTAAGATGAAAACGCAAGACTCTTGATGCTGATGCGGTACACTGTACGCGTATAGGGCCGCATAGCTCCTTTGATGGAGTCTATTTTTCATCCGACTATTTTGATGTTCGTCGTCAGTCGACTAGAGTGTGACTTACGCGGCAGCATCACTAATTTAAAAAATATGGAAATACTGTTTGACTGGGAGAAACACGTTAGTGACCCTAGAGCCCTAGAGAACGGTAAGACTTTGAATCAAGACCATCCTGAAATAAGCTTAGTCACAATACATGGGCTCGGTGCGCCTTGTCTGGTTACTTCATTTTGACCTTTACGGAATGATACAAACTTGAGGAACGATGGGTGCGGAATCATGGCAGCACTAAGGCTCGAGCACCAAATCTAGGAGGAGCTCTTGGTGAGAGTATATGATGCCTGCCTATCATCTACTAAGGTAAGCAGACGAGTTTATGCGCAACAACTGGTCTATGAAATTTGTGGTAAACATGTGGTCACACTCAGCTTTTAACGCTTTGAACGGCGAAAACTGCCCTGTTGAAAAATGCGGAAGTATTCAGTCATGGTTCAGCTAATGGTTAATTCTTCAAGCTGGCAAGTTATTTCGCTATAGAAAGGGAACTGAAAGACGAAAATTCTCTTATCTCCCTAAGAGACAGTTGCTACGAAAACATAGGGTCAAATCAGTCCACCATGGTTATATTAGGTGTGATCATCTTCCACTGTACGACGAGTACGCGGTTATTACAGCTGACAATGATGATGATGATGTGGATGAATACAGGCGAAATAATTCAGAGGAACACCCATTCCGCATTTGGTAGTAACTGACTACACAAATGGTAGAGAAACTGACACTGCACCCGAATAGGAAGGAAATGGCTTACTGCGAACACATTACGCGGAATACACAATTCAAACAGGAAAACTGAAACACCACAACAGAGGCAATGTGAGTAGTCCGTGACGATTCAACAACAGACAGGCTGTTTGTAGTCCAGTAAACGTGACTAGTACCACCTACAGACGGTCATAGCTAACGCAACGACAAGGGTGACAATAAAGATGAGAAGAAAACACGCTGGAGAAAATCATGAGAGTGGGAACAGCGGAAATAGCAGCCTAAGCAAGCAAAAATGCAAAACAGTCATATGAAAAAAGACTGCACATGCAATGCATACACACAGCATAAAGCAGAGCAAATCGAGCCACCCAAGAAATTCTCAAATAATGCGTAGTTCATCCCAGCATCAAGCAACACAACAAAAGGCCGTGGCAATTGACACAAAGCGCAAGCACGGGCCAAGCCAACAAAGCTGTCATGGTGAAAGTCATCGGTAACCTACCCAAAAGGTGCAAGCCAGCAGAGTAAGCATAACTATCATCCACTGTGGTGGGGAAAACAAGAGGTGCGGAGTGGAACGGCCAGCGAAAAAGATGAAGGGTACACGGAGAGTAAAAAAGGATGAGTTAACAGGTACGACCTGATTTGTGATACCTTTGGCCGAACAGCCTAAAGGGCGGCACAAAGTAAGGCCGTCCAACTCCGGGAAACACACAGAACCGGACACTCGATTTGAGGCAGTGAACTTGATGAATACGATGTATCCTGAGGGGATCAATGTGGTCTGTCTCAGATAAGACGGCCTAACACGAGAAGAAAACAATCTAAGAAACTTGCTTTCCAGAGCTGTCGTTTGTTAAAAATCGAATGTTTTTTTCTCAAGTTTCAGGACCATTCTGACAGAGTTGACTAATTCCAACTGTCAAAGTAATAGCAGATAAGAAGCTGAAGGGGCGGCTTAAATGTTCAGGTCCCCGGGTGAAATCGCTTTAGGAATAGCAATTACTACAGGAACAAAATACCGAGGTTTGTTTAACAATGCTACAAGCTGTCTGAAAGCACTGGCTGATCGATCACTCTGAGTTCATGTATGTGACTTATGGAAACTAGTCGAATGCGGGTTAACCGTTCAACTATGGAGGCCTTTACTAACATGAGTTTGATACAACCCCGAGGAATCCCGAAGACTGAAATACCGTAACGCTGTCTGCGCATAGACAGTAGTAATCTAAGACAGGGACAGATCCAGAGCATAAACTTTTGAGCGACGATTCTCAAGCCATTTCCAATTCTTAAGAACTAACCGCATAGGGAGAAGACTTATCTCAAAATACACTAAGCACCTCGGGACACAATAGCTCACCTATCACCTGGAGAGACGAAACTTTCATACTTGGAACTCAGGTATCCATTCAGAGATTGTTGATTCGGATGCCAGTGGCGCCATAAATACCATTGAACCAATCCAAGGGAACGTTTTAGAGTAATACTTCCAGGGGACAGCTATTGATTATAGGAACCATCCACTACGTGGAATTGATGTAGTGTCGCTCACACGTGTACATAAATGGACCAACGGGGGCGAGATGGCCCAAGTGGTAAGAGCGCGAATTTACTGACCGGAAGGTCCGAGGTTCGAATCCCATCTCCGCCTCTCGACTTACCCTGTCTTGGGTAACCTGGCAGTATCCCAGCCCTCGTGCTTCCTTCGGGTGGCATGGCAGCTAGGCACCGGAAGAGTGTTACAGCTGAACGCCCCAAATGCACCGACGTTTGACCGAGATTATTGGTGAAACACCACACAAGTCTCGATGTCTCTAGACATCGGCTGACAAGCCTGTGCGCCCAACGACAACACAAGACGGTAAAGTATACGGAACCCCATCCTGGAAGTCACAGCCAATTAAACGCAAGTGTAGACCGAAGGCATACTACATTTTTACTGATGTTTTTCTTACTTAAACGGGTCCACCTATCCGTACTCTTTCATCTCAAATGCACTCAATTAATGCCAGGGTTGCTCAACCGTTTTTCTCTTTCTGACTCTATATAGTGACAATATTTAGTTTTACCTCCAGCAACTTGTAAAAACAACGCAACGCTTCCTCCCCCATGACAGCTGATTCCCAAGTCAGTGATTCGAAAGAGACGCTGCTAAATTAAGCCTTAGATTGTAAATCCCTGCATGAGGAAGGACTTTTCAAAGATGAGTGCAATTTTCGCTAGCCCTCTGGTTACGTGCTCATTGGGGGAAAACTGCACTAAAATCAGCGCTGTCACTTGTAGGTCCAGCAGTATTGTAACGGATGGTACAAAACGCAAACAGTTGAAAAAGTGTTGACGGAAATTGGAGAAATTTGTTCCGGAGAGATCCGTAGGGCAATTTCGTGACTATATGGTCACGAAATGCAATTAGGAGTACTCTGTGTTGATTTCACGTCTTAGTCACTGAATTTAGAAAAAATCACTACCCTGAGAGCCCATTAATTTATTTGATATATATTCGGTCTTTAAATCGAGCTCAGTTGGATAGATTCACTATGAACAATATACTTCGTGAGTATGGAGGGCGAGTAGGATCATTGTGGGCAAAATAAAACTCCAGGGTAATTGACAAATCCCAAGATATTTATCACCTGAAACAGATCAAGTATGTATCCTACTTAAGCAGTGCAGAATGCGGCGTGTGTACGATGCTCACTCACCGCGTGGAACAGACGCGAGGGTATCAGTCGTTTGCCAAAAAACGGATTACGTCACAAAGACTAACGCTGTCTGAGACTGAACAAGGTTAAACTGTAGCCTAGAACACTGATAAACTCAAGCTCTCTATAGCGAACAAGGCAGATTTACGCCGCCAAAGAGAAATGGAATCAAAATGGATTTGCTTTAGAATGAGGAGTGTAGTCCTACATGCTATTTGAAACCAGCTGACCAGTGGATTCAAGCAGAAATCGGCTATTTTGCAAGTTAGTATGCGTCGAGCGAATTATTAGCTACAGACTGCATTGCACTAAAAAAGAAGAGAAGAAAGCTTCCTCCGCCGAATGGCCTCACGATCAAAGGAGAATGAATTAGGTTGTGATTCATATCAACCACAAATAGGAATGGAAGTTTAATTGGAGAAAAAGTCCCGGATCCAGCATCTCCCAAACACACTGATTGTGACACACCTGTTTGGCTGAGCCTCAACTCAAGAGAAAAAGCGCATTCAGCCATCGTTTTACCTATCTTTATCATCCTGGATATTAGGGCGCCCGATAAATTGATGAAAATCAGGGTGATACTGACAATAGCCCGCGCGCTATGTCCGCACTTTGGATGCGAAACCCACACAGCTTTGCTGACCAGAGGAATATACTAGAATCCATCATTACGTTGAGAAAGACCCTATCCGTTGACACAGGCAGCTACGAATAACAATAATACAGTTTGCATCTGGAAGAGTTACAGTCGCCTTCGAGAACGCACAGTGCGGGGGAGGTGGTGTAATAGATACGGAGTTGACACAGACGCTGCGGCACACATTTCTGAGCTGAGGATCACTGCCTCAAGCAGACAAATAAAAATAGATATCAAAATACTTTAACATAAACACTATGGCTTAACTTACCAACACGTGTAGGCTGCAGCCGAGATTTACGGCGCTGCTTTGTGACCAGCTTGGCATCGTCTGTGGAAATGGTAACTACAATAGGCAAGAATAGAGAAGACTATACAAATACCATGCGACCTGACGAAACATATGAAGCCTAGTCGTTGAAAAAGGCACCAAATTTATCTAACAAATAGGGGTATTGGACAATGCTTCACATCAGCTGAGAAACAAGGTCACCAAAGAAAGAAGGAAAATCGAAACAGGTCTACCAACTAACTATTATGATTCCGGGTGAACCACACAAACAGCAGAGGAAAGTGGAGGGGAAAATATCAGTTGCTGGATGTTATGGAGATATGCCCTTAGGGTTTATTGAATTTGCTACAGAAAAATAACTGGCTACAAAACGGGGACGACTTGAAAAGAAACGGTTACTACATGAAAAGTGATACATCACAGTGATACAACACTGTTGTAGCACAACACTACCTCACAGCTATACCACCGCAAGACTCTTCATGATATAAATGAGGGAAGCCACACTGCCGTGATTGTACAAATTTATCAGCTCGAATTATGACCACCATGTCGCTGCCATCGATGAGTTCCAGCAGTTACTAGAAAAGGGGCTGTATCAACTGACAGGACAGCGAGCTAGTGATTGAAGAACGTTATACTTTTGGGTTTCGCTGACAAGACCGCAATCGACTGGGTCAGGTTAATGCTAGTCTTAATAGCCTAGGGACAAAATAAACTGCTTTTAGTGACAGCGAAAACGGGTACACAGGGGGTTCAGGATTACCTCAACCAAGGTTGCTCAACCACATACGAGTAAGCCAGTAATTATTACTTGGAGTGAATCGGTACGAAGGACTCGTTCATCTTTCACTGCAGTTTTATGTAAAAACATCAGTCTGCCATAGCTATACACGAGTCATGCACACATTATATCATGCACGAGTTAATAATAAGTAAACCACAAAAAATATGTACAGTTAGGATCATCCAAAAGAGAACTACAAAAGCTCGTACGCCGAAGACCACAAGAACGTTAATTTAGGGTCGAACAATTGACGATACACGTTATTGTAGGTATCAGGTGCAGGATCCTAAGTACAGGTCTATAAGGGATGAGCAGAGTTTAACATCAGAAATTCAATGACTTACCGTCAAAGTTGTCATGTTTGGCTCCACAAGGCCTGTCAAGGGTGGTGATAGGGAATGTTTAGTCGACAGAGAATTTAAATAATCACAGAGAGCGAACCCAAAGCTGTTCCTACTCCCTTTAAGAGCACTGACCGACCAGAGTGCGCCAAACGCTATTGTGGCTATCCGTTATTTCCTAGACAAATTTGCCGCACCCCCCCACCTCAACTCATATTCTAAAAAGTCCAAGTGTCTGCTCAAACACAAGTGGTTAATGCACATATACGAACTCCTGCGACAAAGGTGTACAGTCGACTGCAAGGTGATGTCTATCTTGATATCTATCGAGGATTACGTCCACAAGCCACCTATATTTTCGAGATTACTCAACAGAAAGTCAACCTACACCTACTCAATTCAATTTACATACTGTCAGAGCTTAGACCAATTGAACACTCACTTGTAAAGAGAAGACAATGCAAGTAGAAAACGACTTGGGGTCGAATCCAATCACTTGAATACAAACGCATAGGAAGACGCCTTGAATCCCAAAATGGGCGTCAGCTAATTCCTACAGCTACACGCATCGTTTCTCCGTCAAGCGCACGAGAAAGGATGTTTCGCGCCTGAAAACAACCTACCTGAATTAGAAATCGAAACAACCATATGAAGAAAATATACTCCGATGGCTCGAATATCAAACCAACTGGAATATACGGCAATCTTTGTCCAGTACATTCACATGGAAGGTATCATAACCGAGAGGTTTACCTGGGACTTAGTCAGGTCTCCTGTTAACACCAAAATAACTTACCATCTGGTGTCAAGAACATCAGGTTGGCAAAAACTTGAGGACTGAACCCATTCGATAACAGCCAGGGAGCAAAAAATCACTCGAAGGTTTTCTGGGTGCTTTCATTAACCTTACGAGTGTTGTGTTCCGTGAAGGAAGGAGTTTTCACCAAAGCGACTGAGTGATGTAACACTACTCAGATTTCTAAAAACTCTTTGACAGCCCATGACCTGCTTCGCCCTCCTGAGCTGAGCTCATCAGGTAGGCACAATCCTCAAGTTTCCTTGAAGCTTGCTCTACTTGAACCCGAATTGCACGAAATTACCGAACTACACTCCACTCAATAATACTTTGGTTTTCACGGAAGACCCTCAAGTTCCTTGAAGCTTGCTCTACTTGAACCCGAATTGCACGAAATTACCGAACTACACTCATTCGAATAATACTTTGGTTTTCACGGAAGACCCAACTGAATTCCTCGTTTATGACGTCCTTCTTCAACTAAATACGCTGCACCAGCTAGTAATATACGCTAGTATCACAGTACATTGCATAGGCGTAACACATTCAGTTGGAGAACATAAACGAGAGACTAATCTGGATCTCCCGTGAAGACCAACTTGGTATTCGAATGTGTTTCGCTAATTTCGTGCAACGTGGATTTAAGCAGAACATTAGTCAGAGGGAAACTCGGGAAACATGCTACCTGGTGAGCCCAAAAAAGAAGAGTGACACCGGCGGCCGTGCCCTAACGAGTAGTATGTTACATCAATACAATGTATTGCGATACTGACGTGTCGTACCAACTGAAACATGAGGCAGCCCGGTGCAGCACATTCAGTTGAGCAAACGAAAGATTTAGTTAAGTTCCAAGTAAGTCTCCAGCGAAAAGCAAATTGGTATCCAACTGGATGTATTTCGACTGAGTAGTGGAGTTTGACCGGTTTTCGCAAAAATAAGTCATCAGGAAATATCGAATATGAACAGTAGTTTTTCAATGTGATAACGTGTTCATACGCGTGTCATAAAATTGTAGCTATCACAGTAACCCTTCTGGACAGAGACCACTTCATAGGCAAGTCTACAGCCAGGTTTGTGCACCTATTCACCGTGGACGTCGCAGCCAGCTAGGAACATGTGATCAATTGATCTTCTAAGTCAAAGCTGATTTTGGTTGCACCATTTTCCAGCCATTTCAAGGCCGCCTGTTGAGAATATAGTTGCTGGACATTGGAGTTCAGATTGCGTTACGAAATCTCAGTGGGATTACGCGTATCTAAGAGTGGAGATGATTCTACGGCAACAACCGATTTCCAGGTGGTTTTGAGGTGGCCCTGGAAGAAATCACAAGTCTTGGCACAACACAGTATCAATGTCAGATTATGGAATTACATGAATAGGGACGAAGTTGAAAATGAGTGATCCTAGCAAGTTAAAATGCTTTAAAAAGGCGACTAAAACAAGAAACTACAAACAACATCACCAGAGACGATTCAGGCCACTAAGTAACCCATGCAGTGTGGGATAACCGGAGGTTACCTTTAAAACAGGATATCTCCATAGTTATAGTAGACTACAAAATCATTTCCTAAAATACCAATAATATTTCCTGCCCACTTCTGTCGATCTGATTTGCCGTTAGATCCCATATATTATTCTCAAAAAGAGCACTGCCGGCATAACAGGGGAATGCTGCAGCTGCTGTTACACTGATTTGACACTGTTTCGGCAGGGTACTGAAAACGTGAGCTGCTGACGCTAAAATGTTCTGTGAATACCGTGAAATTTCATAGAACCGAGAGAAAATAAACAGCAGTGTCGCTGCTCAAAAACCGGGCCAAATAACTCTTCAGAAAATCCCGCTGCATCTATTCATAAGGATATATCAGTAGTCCACGGAAGGTCAACAAAATAGACTTTTCTCCTCAAACTGTGGCTACAAACCACCTAGCTTCCCTCCTTGACGCTTCCAAGTTTACTTCTGGAGCTTGGGATACATAAACTTTGACTTCCTGACATTTCAGACTCCAATAAACTGCCAACGGTAGTCATTTTTGAATCGTCCGATGCAGCCAATATACGATCCATAGCTTACTTCCCTCACATTTCTACCCAGTGGTCGGTTAGTTGACATTGCACGGTATGGATCAGATAGAGAAGTCGACTACAAACCAGCGAAAATAACTTGAGTCACAAAGTGCAAATGGGGGATAAAATAACCCATTTGACTCGTTCGCCAGGGGAGTTTTAGCTTTACGTGTAGATATGTGGAAATTCCGGACGCTGTTTATTAAGCTGAATCTAGTCTTCAAGTGCATGGCCCCTTTCCTTGCTAAAACCCGATCTCCAAAAAATTACCCACAAACTCGACTCAATTCGAATGAGCAAATCAATTAGGAATAAAGTGGCATGAGGTATAACGCACCAAAATTCTTCGGGAGGCAACCTATAGAAACACTCTGAACAGGATTCCAGAGTATAAAATCAGGATAGGTTCAACAAACAGAAGCGAAGTATGATAAAAGTCAGCAGTTATGGTGCATGATTAACGCACCTACATGAGCTTGTTCAAACTGACTCACCTGTACTCCACAGCTCCAGATTTGCTCAGTTCATCGTTCTCAGGAGTTGCCGTTTCCGTGAGTAGTCTAAGCGTGGATTGGTATTTCTCTTCATCTTCGGCGGACCAGTCCAGCGGAACGCTGACTCCCTCGGCACGAGGAGTACCCGGAATAGCGACGTCGAAGTCATCGTGGGACAGTGAAGAAGATCCATCGTAATCGCCAACATCCATAGCAGAGTTCAGTAGGCTATTTTGAAGCTCATTACCAAAGGTGGCGACCAAGTGACCATCCAAAGTAGGCAACAAACGCAAACCTGAACCTGGAGGAAAATCCGTCAGATTACCCATCGGATCAAAATGCAGCCCGGCATACCCCATCCCTTCTGTTCGAAGCAGATGACCTGGAGCACTCTGACTTAGCCCAAAACGACGCATACCAAGCAGCTGGGGACTGGAAAAATCCATTAAGGGAACAGATGCACGACCCGTAGAATCAGAACTGGCAGAAACCAAGGCTGCCATATTGTTATAATTCCATGGGTTGCGTTTAATGGCATCCAACAATGTGGCTCGCTCCCTCGGTTCCACGGTCCAAAACGCACCACGACCAGGCCCCTTTAAAAGGAACAGGTGAAACCACATAAATCATATAGAAACGGGATAGTAAATTCAAACGAACGAGGACAATATGGCGACACATTACGACAGAGACATGAAACAACAAAAAACGCGTTGAGTGAGGAGCGGAAACGATGCGTGTGTAGATAATTCGAATGACAACAAAAGGCTGTGACGGTGACGGAGCTTAGTGAATAAACATGTGGCTGACATCAGCCGTGAGGGTTCGGTGCAAAAGCGACTCTGAACAATAGGCCAAAATAAGTTCCGGCGTGGACTATCACCTCATCATCCTCCAGATCTTCGTGCTCGTGCTCCGTATGGTGATACAACGAGATGAGGTTACGGTATTTCGCAGTACCATAATCCTCAAGCTAGTTTGTGGAGGAGAAGAAAATAAAACACGCTAACGAGACACCGGACAATAGCATAAGCGTAATAAGCGGTGAGATGGGTGGGGAGGATTTAAGAGACAAAATAAAATCTGACCAGATACTTACACGACTGTCACGTGGCAGACGCTTGAATGATTTGTTAATGGACAAATTGTGACGCAGCGAATTCTTCCAACCAGCACCAGCATGTTTGTAGAAGGGGAAATTGGATTCACACCAGTTGTAAATCTGATTAACCGTCATACACTTCTGAGGGGTTGACTCAATTGCCATGAAAATCAAATGCGTGTAGCTATAATTGGGTTTTGTTAACCCCTGATTGTTTTGCACCAAATGTGAAGTGTGAGGCAACTGAGAGGACTCGATTCTACATTGCACTGAGCCATAATCTGTAGTTGATGGATGATTAAAGGCAGTAGTGGTCGATGGAATGGATGTTCGCGATGGGGCAGTCGATCGTATGGAGAAAGGTGTAAATTCAGCCAAAGTCGTTCGGAAACCCGGATAGTCATCACTTTTCAAAGATGACAGAGAACCAGTAGAACTTTCCAGACCATTTTGCTGTTCCTCTTCGCCATCTAGAGGGGCAATTTGAATGATATCACCTTTTTGTAGCCAAGCCAGAGAGACCAGATCGTTGGGAGTAGAAACCGCATCCACGCCATAAGGACTACAATCACACGACTCCATAGTTGATTCGGCAGCGGGATAACTGGAGTACGAAGAAAACAGATGGTTCTTAACAGTCATTGAGAAACCTGACGGTGTATATAGCTGTGGCTGTAGCAACTCAGAGTTCCGCCGAAAAGATTGCACTTTATCCATACAGGTTCACGGGGAGCTAAAAAGGAAATGGGGAGATATGACTAAGATACAAGGCAACAGCAAATAGACGTTCTGAACAAACAATCCAATCGGTTAATACAGTACACCAACTGCATCCAACACACATGCTGAATTGGTTCAATAAATTGCTAACCAAGCTTTAGACATTCAACGTTACTCCATCGCTACGTCATCATACTTTCAACGGTTTAAAACTCCGAGGCACGCTTGCTCCTGACATTAGAGCAGGTTGAGGGGCTGAAGCGGATAATCACACTACCAAGCTAGATGAACAGAATGCCAAAAACAAAAAATTGCGTATAATCTAACGATCTTTGTACGAGCTTCCTAAGTTCATCAGGTTGGTTTAAGATATTTTGCCGCCAAGTTTAACTCAAGATGCTTTTTAGTAGCGCCTAATCTAGAGTAGTCCTGTCAGATTTCGAAAACTGCGAGTGGATTGTCAATGGTAGGTTACTGGTGCTGTAAGCATACGACTAGTTTTTCACAATACACGGAGTAAAATTGGTCTACGTAAGTCTGAAAATCTGGAGGACGAAATGAAAATCACGTGTCACGAGGCAATCTGACCAGACCAACATGTGCACTTTCCCCAAATATGTTGTCCGTCTTCATCCATAGCATGAACCAGCTCGGTAAGAAGTTTTTGTCGCATATCCAGACCATGATTTCCAAACGACAAAAATTGCCGGGTGTCATTGACAGATGACATGCCCGACAAAACCCATGTTCCAAGAGGAAAACTGCATAAGGATACCTGTAAACCTATTCACTCCAGGAGGTGGTTATAAGCCATGAAGACAAGCCAAAATATTCTGGCGAGACGAAAGAGTGGACCGCAGTGGAAGTGAAATGTCACAGACGAAGCCGTTTACTTGCTTATCGTAATCAACCGGAGGCCCAATCCAAGCCTTATTGGAGCTTTCAAGCTTGTTCCAGTGGAGAAAATGGGATTGGGAGAACCGTGCATTAATGGGAGCACTTTAAGACGATGGAGTGTGACTCGACTGTTGACGAGTGTTTCGTGACGAGCAGAAAACCAATAGAGGCAGCTCCTCAGAAGTTCGCCCTCATCCCAAACTGTGACAAATGTTTCACCGGTCTAGTGAGTGAATCGGTTTAATGGTACTAAGGCACGGCATATCAGCAGGGAATTCCTAGCGATCACTCGGGGAATTGCCACTTCCAAAACACGTAGTAGCTAAATTTTAAGTATTGAGGTTGATTTGCCTATTGTTTCCCTACACATCCTTCTAATTTGTCAAACATGGTCTTTTAGAGGATCGTATCCGAACACAAAACGCGTATACTTTTTCGAATATCTCGGTTCTGCAAGATTGAGCTATGCCAGGAAGACAGTGAACACTCGCCCTCCGCAGAGCAGGCCACCTAACTCTGCCACCTAGTTGTTTAAAATACGAG